GGAGACGGAATGGAGGTGACTAATTCAGGAACTCATTCAAAGGAGAGAGTGATGGGAATAGTTGAAAGGGGACTTGGGGTGATGAAAAAACATCTTTTTAAAATTTAAATTAAAAATAAAATTTTTTTAAGATGAGAAAGACTGGAGTATGTCTGAATATTGGGGACAAATTTCAAGCGAGAGACGCGCAGCTGCAGGAAATGAGTCTCTGAGTTTGCAGGGAGCCAGGCACTGGTCACCGCAGGCCCGGCCGCCCCTCTCCCACATCATTTCCTGTCCTGAGATTTCGCGGCCAGCCTTACTAAACCCTGCCCTGCACACTTGGGCCATTTCTATTCTTGGCCAACAAACAGTTTCTGCTTGCCAGAGTATTGCTTTCCCGATTTGGACCAAGAATTTGTGTGTGTGTGTTAAATTTATCGGCATCCATTTCTGTATTAATGTTATTTTCCTTTTTATCATAAACCCTTATGAGCATAGTGCTCATTATGATTTTTAAATGTTGCACATTAATAATCTTACAACTAAGATGTAAAACCACACCTCCATTCACAACATGTTTCCGTACAATTTCGCTGAGCTCAGCCTTGTCTGAGAATTGGGACATGGGATAATTAAGAAGACGTTTTACTTTTAAATTCACCTTTTAGCCCTGGCCGGTTTTGCTCAGCGGTTAGAGCGTCTGCCTGCGGTCCGGAGAGACCCGGGTTCGGTTCCCGCTAAGGGCACGTACCTCAGTTGCAGTTTGTCCCTGGCCCTGGTTGGTCATGTGGGTGGCAGCCACTCGATGTGTCCCTTTCGCATCGATGTTTCCCTCTCTCTCTCTTCCTCTCACTCCCTCCCACTCTATCTGTACAAAAAATGGAAAAATGTCCTCAGGTGAGGATAAAAAAATAAATAAATAAAAATAAATTCACCTTTCACCTCCAATTGCAAAGTGGTTCCATCTCAAGGAGATGATTTTAGGGCACCTACAATGTGTAAGATGTTACAGAAATGTGTGCTGATTCTATCAGTAGAATCGTTCTATATGTACATGTTGTGACTGAGACCCGTGTCCCATGCGGAGAGGCAAATCCATTGTAACTCCATTCATCACCACGCTCTCAAGTCCCCCACCCTCGTGAGCTACCAAGGTGTGTGGCTTGAATAGGTCAAAAGGGAGAAAATAAGTCAAAAACTCATCTGTCTCTTTTCCGTGGCCTCGGAGGCGTCGGCTGCTTCGGGATGAAGCGGAACGTCTCTTTCCCGGCCACGGGCTACCAGAAACTCACCAACGTGGACGATGACCGCAAACTTCGAGCCTTTGAGGAGAAGCGTACGGCCACAAGTTGCTGCTGACGCCCTGGGTGAAGAATGGGAGGGCTCTGTGGTCCGAATCAGCGGTGGGAACGACAGACAAGGTTTCCCCATGAAGCAGGGCGTCGACCCATGGCCGTGCCCGCCTGCTCCGAGTACGGGGCATTCCTGCTGTAGACCAAGGGGGACTGGAGAGAGCAGGCACACGTCTGCTCGGGTTGCATTGTGGGTGCCGATCTCAGGGTTCTCGATTTGGTCGTTGTGAAAAAGGGGAGAAAGACATTCCTGGTCTCACTGACACTACTGTGCCTCATCGCCTGGGTCCCAAAAGAGCTAGCAGAATCCAAAAACTTCTCAGTCTCTCTAAAGAAGACGATGTCCTCCAATATGCTGTGAGGAAGCCCCTCAACAAAGAATAAGAAACCCAGGACTAAAGCACCCAAGGGTCAGCACCTGGTTCCTCCACGTGTCCTGCAACGCAAACGTCGGCGTACGGCTCTGAAGAAACAACGTACTAAGAAGAATAAGAGAGAGGCTGCAGAATATGTAAACTTTGGCCAAGAGAGTGAAGGAGGCGAAGGAAGAGCACCAGGAACAGATGCCAAGAGACGTGGGCTGTCCTCACTGGGAGCCTCTACCTCTAAGTCAAAAAGGAGCTTTTCTAAGAGTAACAAATAAATAAGAAACATCAAATCTCCTTTAAAAAAAAAACAACTCATCTGTTTTCACCAAATGGTGATATTAATTATGCATGAAGCCACCTAAAGAGTGTAATATCCCCGAGACCACAGCACAGACAATGGGTTTGCCCAAAGGTAAATGGGGCTCCAGGATCCAACCCCTCAACAGAGTCAGGTTGACTCGTAAGAACAGAATACAACCCAAGGATGAGAAAAGCAAACAAACATCTGTGAGGTAGTACGCGATCGTTTTCAAGTTAGGACTTTGCTTACATTGTCTTTAAACTTCAGGAAAACGTTAACCCTTGGCCACGCAAACTTTTTCTTATAGAATAAAATAGCACATATTTCAGGCCTAGGAACTGTATGTTGTTTCAAATATTACTGGTTTTGTTTGTTTGTCTGTTTGGTTGAAAACCCTTCACATTCATGGAAATCATTCTGAGCTCACCAGCCGTGTGAAAACAGACCAGGGTCTCCAATGGCAAGCTCAGATGTTTCCAGTTAGAGTTCAGGCTTTTCAGTGACGGACACCCCGTTTCCCAGGAGCCTCACTCTTTGCTACATTGAGCCACATTTTCTTTTCCTTTAATGCCCACTTACGTGTACTTCTGACCTCTAGAGTTGGCAAACTTCTTTGAAATAGATGAAGACTTCTTTGGGAAAACGATCCCCTTGATGTCCTCCTGACTCTACATGGAATGGTTTTCAGACCTGTGGCGTTCCCGAAACGTGGCCTCCAGAGCTGACACAGTGCCGGAGCCTGGATGTGACCACGAGCACTCATGTGAACCATGACATAACCTCATTTGGACAGGAGACTGGTCATAATACCACCTTGGCTTGGACGCAGTGTTTTTGTTTCGGCTGCTCTAGCATCTGGGGATTGTAGTCATTTCCATCAAAACTTGCACACACTTAATTTTTTTAGTTTATTTTCTATTGTTGACATTATTACAGATGTCCCATTCCCCCCCCCCTTCTTTCCCCTCCACCCAGCTCCCGCCCCACCCCAGGCCTTCACCACACTATTGTCTGTGTCCTTGGGCTATACACATGTGCACATAAGCTCTTTAGAAGTTCAGATTTCTATAATCAGTACAGCCTAAGGTACCAGGCAGGGCTGGAAAAATCATTGCATGAGTGAACAGCAGTGAATCCTTTGTATTTCTGGGCAGTGAGCATGAAACCCTTTAGTGTGTGAAGTGAGCACTAACACACCATTCAGGCAGGAGAAGGAGACAGAGGGCCCCTGCTCCTCTGTGCTGATCACTCTCCATCTCTCCCAGAGGAGGCCCGGGAGACCACAGCAGGCTCTTGTCCCGTACATGCTGATGCGTTATTTATACCCCAGGAAACACTTCCAGGAAATTGCAACCTGCCGGCTCTCCCCGGCGGGGCCTCAGCTTGGCATCTGTGTCCTCTCCGATGGCTGCTGGTGGATGCTGAACCCAGGCAGAAATGTGGAGGAGCAGGGAGCAGAGATAAAGGAAGAAAGTTATGGGCTTGTTAGGAAAATTCTCTTACTCTGAAAAATCTTATCTTTGGCTTGGCATTGTGAAGTATACTTTAGTGTTAATAAGAGTAAAAAACAAGGTGTTTTTTAGACATCCTTCTTTTTTTAAAAAAAATCCCCATTTCATGTACAAGAGCCCCAAGAGCTACTTAAAGATTCCTATTTTATTTTGCAAATGAAAATGTGAGTACGTGTGAGCTGGGAATCTGGCCTGTGCGCCCCAGGCAGCGATTCTCAACCTTCCTACTGCCGCGACCCTTTAATACAGTTCCTCATGTTGTGGCGACCCTCAACCATAAAATTATTTTTGTTGCTGCTTCGTCACTGTAATTTTGCTACCGTTATGTCTTAGGCGACCCCTGTGACCCACAGGTTGAGAACCGCTGGCCTAAGGAATTTGGCGTCTCCCAGGCGACTGAATGCTCGCACTTTCTGGACTGCTGTTCACTGTGCAAGCGGATGGTGGCAGCCAAGGGAAGTGCCAGCCACGACAGCCCCGCCAAAGACCTGCGAAGTCACCTGTTTGCTGGTAAGCTTACCGTCATGCCTGCGAGAGACCTCAGTTTCACTCAGTGCACCGCCGGCCCTGACACTGGTTGACCCCAGGAGCCTGGGCTGTGTTCTGCGTGACGTCACTTGTGTGAATGGTAGAGCCAGCGGGCCCCAGAGAAACAGCATTTGCCTCTCGCCCCTTCCCACGCCCGCTTCCCTCACGTGGAAATCTTTATGCACGAAGACAAACCCTTCATTCCGCAGAGCTGCCGGAGGACACGAGGAGCCAGGCACATGGAACGGACACTGTGCTTTAAGAGGAATTTGAATAATGCGTCTTTAAATAAACCCGCTGTTGCTGTGACGAAGAGGGTAAGATGCTTATATTTCAAGGACTAGATACCGAGACAGGCAGGAAAGAGAAAGGAGTTGTTTTTTTTAAGACTGGACTCTCAAATCATTCAGGACCTAAACTCTTCATCTGGAAACATATTGGATATGTCCCCAGAGAGGCGAGTGTACCTTTTCCAAGTGCTGTGGAAGACAAAATACCCAGTTTGCAACCAGTGTGTCACCAGTGCGGCAGCACCCGCTAGGAGGTGTGGCTTTTCATGGTTGTCATACCGCCTACAGTAAGCATGCTTTGGACACTTCAAAAAGAGGTTAATAAACAGCACCTTTGGCCTTGGGTGGTTTTGCTCAGTGGTTAGAGCATCGGCCTGCAGACCGAAGAATCGTGGGTTCGATTGTGGTCAAGGGCACGTACCTCGGTTGTGATTCTTCCTTGGCCCTAGTTGGGGTCGTGCGGGAGGCAGCCACTCAATGTGTCTCACATCAATGTTTCTCTCTCTTTCTCCCCCTCCGCCCCTCTCCCTCTACCACTCCCTCTCCCCCACTCTGTCTGAAAAGAAAATGGAAATGTATCTTCGGGTGAGGATTTTAAAAAATAAATAAACAGCACCTTTGGCCCAAAGAGTCCCACATATATTTATCTAGTGAATAGGTACAAACTTAGCAATTTTAATCAATGTTCTTGCAGACAAGTGTGGATATGTATATGCATATATACATATATATATCAAAATTGGAATTTACAAAGAAGATTGATACATTTGGTCTAGCAGTGGGTAAGTCCACGGGATAAATCTTAAGTAGGATGGATTTCCTTTGGGGGTGATTTTAGTAATTCAGTCCTACACAGAAAGAGACCTGAAGCGTAAAGTCAGCTCATTTTGGAGGAGCCCACTGAAGAAATAAAGCGTGCAGCATTCCATGAAGCCAGCTTCTGCTGTTCCCTGGAGACCCGAGGGGTCTGAATTTGGTGCCTACGAAGTGTGAAAGTCGCCCCGAATCCGTGGGCATCTCCTGTAGCCGCGTGTTTTGGTTGTCTCTGGGCGTGCAATTCCAAGCAAAACGTGTGAAGAAGCAAAGTTAACGGCAACATTGAGTCCTGTGTGCAGTCCAGGCCAGGAAGCGGGGCTGAGTTCCAGTCTGAACATGCTCCAAATATCCAGTGTCCATCGCGTGGCCTTGCTGACACCAGGGCAGAGGGGCTCGGGACACCGTCTTCCTTTTCCTGCTCACAGCCCTTAGTGCAAGTTAGTCAAGGGGGCCGGACAGGGCCAGCTCTCGGCATGCTCGTCCTGTGTTACCACTTCCCTGGGATGGAGACCCCACACTCGTACCAGCCCACATAGTAATAGGGGCTCCCAAAGCCGATGTTGCCAAAGCTGACGGGCTCCTGGCGATACTGGCGATAGTAGCCTGGAAGGGTAAAAGGAAATGGGGGGAGAGAAAATGCATCTGTGATACTGCAGCTTATACTGAGAAAGATGTAGTTGGTCTTCATCCCTGTTCCTGGCACAGAGCTCCTGAAATCCTTGGGATTTCCTAAGAGCCCTGACACACCCGATGGCCTGCCTCCCTTGAACTCAGGTAGTGACTGTAATCTGTACAATCACCTGACAAGAGGACAGTCATGTGACATCTCTCTTGTCATGACCTAAACTTCAAGCTGTACACTGTTAGTGCCTTTCATATTTGTATCTTCTCTTTCCAGTAAGGGCCATATTCCTGGGAGTAGGGATAAGGTCTTATATTCCACTGTATCCCTACTTTCCCTAGGCTCACCCCAATTCCAGCACATGGTAGGTGTATTTTGTTGATGTTTTTATTTTCATGATCCAAAATGCTGCCAACACCTCTTCAAATGGTTAACCGAAGGCAGGGCCACAGAAAATTTTCTCCTTGCGTTAGTCCCCCATGCAGTGTAATGATGTGTCAGACCTCTGTTCTCGTTACCTTGAATGCTAGGGAGGGCCTCTATGTAGGACTGAGGCCCTGTTCTTCCATCGAGGTGTGAATCCACAAACTGGCAATGGTCTTCACCTCTTCCCCAGCTGTCTCCAATGCTGTAGAACGTATCTTCAGGAAGGAATAAGGTAAGTCAGTGACTGTTCAAAAACTGCCACAGTTGAATCAGGAGTTTGCACAGGCTTTGGAGACTATCTGAACTGGGTACATTACTTAAACTCTGTGTGTCATACTTTCCATGTTTGAAAAATGGTGACAATGGCACCAACCTATAATGTTCATTAAATGGAAACTACGAATATTACAGGCAGTTTCAGCCTATGAATGGTAGACCTTTTTACTCCTTGGTTTGAAAAAAGAATAGATGAAACTAATCTAGTCAGAAAATGCATTCTGAAATAATTATGAAAGGCACCAAGATCTATAAAAATAGAACCTATTTTCATATATAACTAGTAATGTGTCTGCGGTGTGAGACACTGTCCGTGGTGCTGAACCGCAGCTGCACAGTAGGGCAGAGTTGTTTTTCTCAACCCCGGGATTCTGGAGAAGGCTGTGCGACCTCTCTTAGGACTTCTGGATCACAGGAGGAAGAGGGCAGTGGTGGAAGAGAAAAGAATGAGCAGAGAAAACAAACAGACAGCAGCTGTTGGGAAAGACATATATACTGAGAAATTACCAGAGTGGGGATTGTAAGGGAGACTTTATTTTGACATTATCTTGAAATACCACTAGCAAGAAAAAAAAAAGAAACAACAGAAAAGCCCACAATAAAATATAGACCAGCTGAGAAAAAGTTGAAAAAAATGTATGTACTAAAAAATTAAAAGTTGTGCAAATTTTGAAATAAAGCCAAATTGGGGGCAAATTTTGAAATAAAGCCAAATTGCAGGTGGGCAAAGGGCAGGGAAGGGACATTTGTAATAGTGTCAACAATAAAAATAAAGGGAAAGCCCTGGCCGGTTTGGCTCAGTGGTTAGAGCGTTGGCCTACGGTCCGGAGAGACCCAGGTTCGGTTCCCGCTAAGGGCACGTACCTCAGTTGCAGTTTGTCCCTGGCCCTGGTTGGGTCGTGTGGGTGGCAGCCACTCGACATGTCCCTTTTACGTCGATGTTTCTCTCTCTCTCTCCTTCCCACTCTATCTGAACAAAAAATAGAAAAATGTCCTCAGGTGAGGATAAAAAAATTTTTTTAAATAAAATAAAGGGAAAAACTCAAAACCAAAAACCAAAAAAAAAAAAAAATTTAAAAAAATAGAAACAAATTTGCGTAGGTGGGTGAATCAAAGCCAGCTGAGTCAAAATGGCATTTTGAAATGTTGGTAGTTCAAAATGTGTATGTGATTCTTTGTTTTAATCCCCACCCATGATGAAAACAATGTAATTTTTATTTGGACACAGAACAAACAGTATTGGTGATGTATGTTTCACTATCTAAATTTTTTTTTTTTTTGGAAAGTTGTGCCAATAGCAGGGAATGAAGGGGGGAGTGGTTCCTCAAAAGTTCTAGCTTATACTCATACCTATTAATGAATTAATGGCAAAAACTGCTTTTCAGTTTATGACAGAATTTTGGGCTCCATTCCTAAAATATAGTAGAAATATATATGTATATATATTTCTGGGTGCCAGTGTGAAAATTAGTCCCCCTAAAATAGAGCCTGCAGCATCGGTTTGTATTTGAGTTAGACCTAAATATATTCTTATACACCTGCTATATCAAGTTAGTATCTCACAAAATCACAGGCAACCATTCTCAAAGACCTACCTTTCAGGTTGTCACTGAGGTAGATCTTGTACCGCAGTGAGTTACAGAGAACAACTCCCACAAACTTTCTATACCACGTCCGCTTCACATACTGCCGGCCGTGGCAGTCCGTGTAGCCAGGGTCATGTTTAAAAGCAAATGGGATCCAGATGGGCTCACCGCCTTGACAACAGAAACACACCAAGTCATGGCATTCCACAGTGTTGGTTCTTCTTTTTTTTAAAGTAACATTTTTTATTTATTTATTTATTTTGGTGGTACGTGCCCCTAGCGGGAACAGAACCCGGGACTCTCTGGTCCGCAGGCCGATGCTCAACCGCCGAGCCAAACTGGCCAGGGCGACACAGTGTTGATTCTTGCACAAAGTACCAGAAATGTTGACTTATTGGCTGGGCCTTCCTCTTCTCAGGGCTTTTCGGACCAAAGTTTTCCCACCTCCCAAGGGCACCCTCTTTCCCTTTCCTCTTCTTTCTTAGGACTGAAACACAGTTGGGGAGTTCCTTTTACTTGAACACAGTTTAGGGATTCTTGGGGTAAGAAAAAGGCTTGAAGACCCCAGGAAAATAAGCTCTAATGGCAAATCTGATCTTGCAGAGCATGCCCTCCTACCTCCTTCCCACAAAGGCCCTCAGCATAGACCCCATACTGCTCTTGACACTCGTAAGACCTGTCCTGAACTTAAGCAATAGAGCTTCTCAGGTGGTTTAAAGAACAAAGTAAAATTTTGTTAGACACTTAATGCATTTTGCTACCTTCTCAGCAATTTAAAATATTCAAAGGGGGTTGAATGCAAATCCACTTATCTATTCTCATAGATATTGGCCACCCGTGTTTTTTTTTAATAGATATTGGCTGCTATGGCCCTTTACAAAATTCCTAGATCATTCTTTTCCCTGGATTAGGATGAAGGGAACCACAGACATTGTCATATTATAAAAATGCAAAATTGGTCCAGCATTTCCACTTGTAATTGTAACAATCTCAGAGTCAATATTCAACTTGATTACTAAAGTGTCAAGTGCGTCAAGAAAGAAAGACTTACCTGGCGGCCTCACAACAAGCAGAGGATTGTCTGTAGAATGAAAAGAAAATCATTGACTTCATGATTATATTTCACAACCGTGCACTTGTTGACACGTGTATTACCATCGAGAGGGCTAACCAAACTGGAATAGGTAAAGACAGATGTCTGCTTTATTTGACAGATGCCAACATTTCTCCTTAGTTTTTACTTTCCAAGCATTTCCTTTTGAGAACTACTTCACTGTTTATATAGATGCTGTGGGTCTCTGATGGTTCTATTTTGACATCAGGTAATACAAAATAATTCATTATGTTTTAAAATGTGTCCATCTTGGGAAAACAGTTTGGTGGGGTCGTGAAAAGGTAAACATGCATCTACTACACAATCCATCCATTGTGCCCTTGAGTATGTATCCAAGAGAAATGAAAACATGTCCATACTGACACTTATACATGAGTGTTCATAACAGTTCTATTTTTCATCGTCAAATAGCAGACACAACCCAGAGACCACCAACAGGTGAATGGGTAACTGACGGCACCGCCGTACCATGGAATGCTGCCAGGGGATAAAAGAGAATGAGCTACATTTGTAGCTTCCCACTCTCAGAGAGATTTCAGACCTCATTTTCTTGATAGATGCTTAAATTTGAATAACTTGGTTTCTTCCTATAGATCTTTATCATGTGAATTCTGCCGAAAATCCCTTTTATTTTTAGGAAATGCAGCCATAAACACAGACATTCTCCACTGTAGCACATTAACCACAGACAATGGTTTTCTCTTACTCCTTACTCTCTTACTCCTCAATTTCTAATGAGAAACACACTTCTTAGACGACACCGGTGAAAATGCTTTTGGGGCCCTTTGCCTCCATTTCCAGTATAAAGCATAGTCTCACAAAGATTTAATTTTGTTCCACATATCTTGATTCAGTAGATTTTAAGTCATTACATTTCAAAATATCTTCCAACGACACATGTTCTGGGATCAAGCTACATGTAGGTAATAGTATCGCCAAAAGGAAGCTAGAGCTCCTATTTCAGCGTGGAGCTGGCTTGGCTGGGCTTCCGAAGGTGGCCTGGCTTAGAGCCTCAGACCCCAGCCCTCGGGCTCGGTGCCCATGTGGAAAGGCTGCTGACCCAGGACCTGCCTCCAGGGCCATGCTGCTCCCACCCAGTACACAGGCACATCGAGTAGAAGGGCCCCGGAGCTCTGCACACCAGCACCCCCAACACAGGGATGTCCTCTGAGTGATACCGCTTGTAAGACTGACTAGGATTTTATTCATGTATTTTTTAACTTTTATTTATTGATTTGGGGGGGGAGAGAGAGGGAAAAAAACAAAACATCGATCTTTTGTCCCACCCACTTACGCATTCACTGGTCGGTTCGTGCATGTGCCCGGACGCAGGATTAAACTCACACAACGGCGCATCAGGATGACGCGCCAACCAACTGAACCACCTGGCCGGGGCCTGAACATTATTTTACTTAAATTCTCCAGCCCTGGACAGTTTGTCTCAGTGGTTAGAATGTCAGCCTGCAGACCAAGGAGTTGCGGGTTCGATTCCTGGTCAAGGGGACGTACTTGGGTTGCAAGTTTGGCCCCTGGCCCCAATCAGGGTTGTGCAAGAGGCAATCAACTGATGTGCCTCTTTCACATCGATGTTTCTCTCTCTCTCTCGCCTTCCCCTCCTCTCTATCTAAAAATCAATGAAAAAATATCCTCAGGTGAGGATTAACAACAACAACAAAAAAAACCCAACTCTCCACATTAAGTAAGGAATTTTTTTTCATCTCCTAATAAAAGAAGCATCTTAGAGACTTAACTAATTGTTAGAAGCAGCTGCCTCTCAGGCCACATGACATTTATGCTCTTCAGCTGTTTGCAATAAAAATAAAATTATCTCTGCAACTAAATCTTTTACAGAGAGATTCAGACTTATCTTTCCCATATGGCTGAAAACTAGCTCTTTCCCCTTCCATTGGAATGTGACCTCCCATTTCCCAGGCAGTTCCGATAGAGACTGCTTTCAATTTTATTATCCAAGTTTTAACCAGCAGAAAGAAAATAATGTTTATTTTATAAAGCAATATCCAATACAAATTTATTAAATAGAAAAGTCAGGATTCTACTTCTTCAGTTTCTATTCTATTGTAGTCATTATTCCAAATTACTTGTTTTTGAGAAAAGGAAAATAATGAGAAGCAAAGTCAGCCGTACCTGATTCTGTGACAAATGAGACCGAGGGGCTGATGGGTCCATAGCCGTGAGGATTTTTGGCTTGAACTTTAAAATAATACCTGAAATTGGAAGAAAACACATGTTGAAAGAGAAGTTCGTTTAAGTTCTGTGTAATAAGACAGATTCCCAAATTACTCAGCACCTACTCTGTGGCAGTTTTGAGTCCTAATTTTTGTTTTCACTAATGCATACATCTCTGCTATATCTTCATATTTTTTCTGAACCTTCTCATTTTCTAATAACTTTTCAAAATAATACAATTAACAGTATAGACATGTGGCTATTGGGGCAGAAGGAGGCTACTTAGAGCGTGTGTGTTCCTTAGGGCATCCGGGCTGTTCTGCCCCGTGAGGCATGTTCCCGGGGGAAGTGTTCCTCCTGTCCAGCTGCTGTCCCAGCTGGAGGGCCCCACTGGAGAGGAAGAAGCTGCACAGAGCAGGCTGCGTGACCCAGGAACGCCTGTCAGCAGAGAGAGGGTGAACCAGTGCAGAGGGACGTCCTCAGGGGAACCGACACGACCGCAGTGTTTGAGTGCACGACAAGCACTGTGGTTGGATCTGAAGCTTTAGAAGAGGTTTGAGCTTCTGCACCTCAGGGACCGAGAAGCAAGTCCAGGAAGGGGTGCAAACCAGGCCTGGGGAAATTCTGCTGTAGGATTCATCTCCGTCTCGGAACAGAGAATGGGCCAGCAAGCACGCCGTCTGCATGAGCTCGTTCATCAGAGGGAGGCTCCTAGGCCAACTGGGCTGGGAGTCCCAGAACATTGTGCTTTGCACTCTTGGGAGCTACAGGACAAAAAGCGGAGGTTGGGAAAGGCTGGAGCCCAACACAGCTGTGACCCACTCTAGCTCTGTGAAGCTTTGGCCTCCCCTCCCCTCCGCGCCCTCCTGGTCCTTGGCTACGCACAGAGGCGAAGGGGGTAAAGTTCTGGAGGGTGGCTCTTGGCCATTTTGGGGAGTTCATGAGCCTCTCTCCAGGGCTCTGCAGCAGGAGTTACACTTCAAGGTTACAGAATTCTCTCATTAAGTCAGGCACAGAGATTACATGCACTAATTAAAATGCACTGAATGTTTAAAAGGTGAGTTACACACAGAGAGCAAAGGCATGTGTCTGTCATGCTGCTGTCCAGGCAGCAAGCCTCTGAGCTTCTGGGGTCACCAAGGAGCCTGTGGCCTCCCAGTGACACAGAGATAGTACACGAGTTTGTGTGTCATTAAACAGAGCTAGTTGAAATGGCTGAGATAATTAAGCCATTTGGTAAAATTAGTCTTCTTTCAAGCCTTTCGAGAAAGTCATTCCCATCTCGTTAAGGAGAGAATTCTTTTTAAAATTTCATTTAAAAAAAAAAAAAGATGCACAATTAAGAACACATGGGTCTCCACATCTCGATTTGCTCAGCAGTTCCTGTCCGTTCTCAGTGGTTGTGGAGTTATTTAAGGCGAAGCTCTGCAGGCTGTTCAAGCGGTGGGTTTGGCATACGTTATCGGATTGGTTAAACTTTACAGATACTTTCTTTTTTCCTTAAATCAAAAAAAAGGAAACCAAAACCTAAGGAATGACACTTCCATTCTGAGGCTACATGGGACATTTCTCCGGAATGTTTCCCAAGCCGCCACTAAGGCTGCCCTGAGACTGTTCCCCGAGCTCCAAGCTCAGCTCCGGAGCAACGAGGACTTGGCGAGGGGACCACCAGTCGATTAAGAGTAGCTATTCCAGCTTCTTTGTTGCATCCGTGTGTCTCACCACTGAAACCCAAGTACTCTCCAAACCCACCTTCCCTGTCCACACAATTACTCCATCTTCCGCAAAGCCCACGTGGCCCGATTCCAAAGACATATTTCCACTTGAACTTCACCTAATGTGTCAAAGTAAATTTAAATATGCTGAGCTGAAAAGTAACATGGAATTGTGAAAAAAGTCAAGTTCCTATTTTCAAAAACCACATTAAGCTTTTTCTACGAACTAAAATATATGTTTCAAACTCTGAATAGTCTCTGCCTCATCCAAGTAACGGGAGCAATCCACGCCTTGCCTCCTTGGATAAGCATCGGGCCCCGTCTTTTGAACAGACTCCACGGTGACAAATCTTTGCACTTTAAGTGTGGATTAAAACATGCTAACTCCAGAAAGTGAGTTGGCGCTGAGTTGGGCGAATACTGCCACGTACCATCAAAAGCAAGATTCAGTAATAAAGAACCACAGCTGTGTTTTACACTGTGGCTCCTCTTGAATCCACAGACGCCTTGTGACTCCTCTGCAGGGGCTCTGAAGTCGACGCCTGGGAAGCCCTGGGGACGGTGATGAGAATGGGAACACAGGCTCCTACAGGGTCCACGGAGACACTCTGCCTTGGGGTCATGCAGGGAAAGGGAGCATCCGCCCATCACAGCGCCCCTTTCCCAGCCGGAACGTGGCAGCTGTTGGGAGGGGTCTTGAGGAAATCTGTGTGGGAGGAGCCACGCCAGCTCCCACCCTAGCCACACCCCCAGCCAGAGGAATAATGAACACGGGAGGGCCTCCAGGGGAGGCCACGGTAGCGGCTGCTGGTCCCTGTCTGTCCAGCAGGGAGCTGAACCTGGGTGGAGGGTAGGACAGACGCCATGAGGGACTCCGCAGGCCCTCTGGGTCCAGCCTCCAGCCTCCCTTCCTGCCTAGAACACACCGTCTCTTTGAACAAACTTGCTGCCCACTGCCCAGAACAACCTGGCCTTGCCCCGCCGCCTTCTCCAGGTCAGTGGCTGCTTATCCTACTTCCCCAGAAGCCGATCTGACGCCCCTCCGGCCCCAAGCTCAGAAAATAGTCCCTGTTGTGCACTCACAGCACTGCCTGCTTCTCCCTGAGGATACTGACCAGTGAACGTTTCCGTTCCTGTTGCGTCAGAACAGTCTCTCCTCTGCCAGGCTGTGAGCAACATGGGACGGGGCCATGGTGTGGTTTACCACCCCTCTCCCCCACCGGCCCACCCCTCCCCCACCGGCCCACCCCTCCTCCACCGGCCCACCCCTCCTCCACCCAGCCACGCTCAGTGCGCAGCGCGTACTTATTCAGTGAACCCTGGCTCCTTCACACCTGTTGAAAGAATGAACAAACCTTCATCTTGCAGAACCATCATCTCCTGACGTTATCAAAACTCAACATCATTCTGACAGCTGTGGGTAGAACCCGGCCGTGGGGGCGGGGCACAGAAGACTGGATTCAATTCCACTGGGGGGGGGGGGCTGAGTGAGGCCTGGCTAAGGCCTCTGAGCTCTTTGACAGCGTGGCTGTGTACAGCATTGTCACTGCACAAAGCTGGGCGTCAACCTTTTTTGTTCTTTTTCTGTTTCCTTGCATTCGTTAATATTTCATCACTATTAGGGAAAAATTAAGTGTCTTCTCAATTTCTTGTTTTGCACTTGCTTTTTATCTGCCAAATCCCAAAATTCATACTAGATTAAGAAAAACTCAGTTAGAGTGAGCCCAGGTGGCCCATTAAAATGCCCCGAGGAGAGTCCTCAGCTGGCTCCAAGTCTCTCGGTACCATGGCCGCAGCCCAGCTCCTATCCCCTTTAGCACGTGTCTGTGTAAGGACAGTATTTTGTTGCAACCTTCTCCGTGTTCCTCTGTACAGAAAGCGGGAGACCCTGGGCCCACAGCCGTGTCACCCGGCGCTCTTTGCCATGTAAATACGGTGGGTTGACCTGATTACGTCCTGGAGTCATTTTGTCAGCTTGAGCTAGCTGATGGTTAAGTATTTAGAATTCTGAATGCTCACTGGTAGCCTGGAATTGGCCGTGGGGGGAGTATTTGCACTCCGGAAATTGGCAAACACCAAAAACGGGGAATTTTGTTTTTCTCCCAGAGAGCTAGCTGGTTTACAACACACCACAGCTCGACCATCCTGTGTTTGGTGCTTGGCCATGTCCATCCACCAGGGAAGCTTTCCTGACGGTCATTACCATAAAAACTGGGTAGCATGAAAGCAGAAATGCACACTCCCCCACTCTGTACCTCTGGGGACAAGTTTTGCATATTTCACTGAGGGCTGTAAGCTCTGGCTCCCGGACGGCTCTCCAGCCAGCCAGCCGCTCGCCCAGCTCAGGAAGCCATGGTTATAACCTATATTAATGTGTAAAATGCATCTTTCTTAGAAATGATCTCAATTCTGCATCACAGTTTGAGTACCAGTTAACTGAAATGTCCCGCAATTGCTGCTCCATCCATGTCACATGTGAAGGTTGTGCTATCTGATGGGTCAGTTCCTTTTAGACACACAGAACAACTTCTCTTACCCCAATAGTAGTCAGTGTTCAGTCCCTGGAAACTAGGGAACAAAATATCAGCACAATAGACTACAGTACATACAGTAATTTCTTCCAAGAAAAATAAGTCTCACATGGTAAGTGTTCACTTATATTCTATGAGAACTAAGCAGAGACTGCAAGAGAAGTCACCAAAACACCGAGTGAGCTTTTCACTTTTAGCCTAAGGATGTCTTGAACCATGTACACAGGTCTCAGTAGGGGTTTTTCAGTGACTGACACATCATACCTTGTGTTTGGCTTCAGGTTCTCAATGGGCAGATGAGTGACAGTTGAAGCTTGTGTGGACCACTTGTTCCGGATGAAGTCTTCATAGGACGCGCTGTAAACCAAGTAACCTGCGCGTGGGAAGAAGGAAGAACCCAGTGAGTGCCAAGGAAGCACACCACACAAGAGGTGTGACCCCGTGGAGGGTGGTGAGGACGAGGTGATGGCACACAGGAGGCTCTGTGGGAGAGGTTCTAGAAACAGCTGCATGTTGGATGAGGGTGGGCATAACGCTGGGATCCTCTGGGGAATCCAGATGCAGATAAAACAATTAAAGACACTTCCTGAGACTCGCTAGTTCCCTGCTCCTCTTCCTTCTCCTGATCTCCCACATGGCCTGGCCTCCCCATCTCCTCAGGACTAATCACACCTCGTCTGGACCGCACAGAGGGAAGAGCAGAAGACAAGAGCGATGACCGCCACACAAGTGTTTAAGACTTTCCTGGTAGAGTCACATACAACCTTCCCTCGCACGAAACAAAGAAACTGTTGAATGCAAAAATGGGTGGGAAGTGAGGCCGTTCTCTAGAAGAGGGAACCTAGATGACCAGGTTTGGGGACCCAAAGGATCCTGAGTCTGGTTTTGGATACACTGAGACTGGGATAGTTTGGAGACATCTTGTGACGATGTCAAGTGGGCATCTGATTTTACTTTTTGAGGTGCAGAGCAGAGGCAGGCTTGACCTTGAGCTATGAATCAATGATTCATCTCTAAGATGAATTAAAACCACGTGCCTAGCCCTGGCCGGTTTGGCTCAGCGGTTAGAGTGTCAGCCTGCGGTCCAGAGAGACCTGGGTTCGGTTCCCGCTAAGGGCACGTACCTTGGTTGCAGTTTGTCCCCGGCCCTGGTTGGGTTGTGTGGGTGGCAGCCACTCGATGTGTCCCTTTCACATCAATGTTTCTCTCTCTCTCTCCCTCCCACTCTATCTGAGGGAAAAAATGGAAAAATGTCCTCGGGTGACGATAAAAAAATAATAATAATAAATAAAATAAAACCATGTGCCTGAGTGAGCTCCTGGAGGAGATTAGATGGAGCGAGAAGAAAAGAGGACTTAGGACCAAGCCTGTGAGAGAGACTCAGAGGCTGAGAGTCAGATCACAAGTCAAGAAGCAGAAGGTCAACAGCGTCCAGTGCATGTAGGAGGCAACCCGCTTTACTTAGCAACGCGTGGTCGCTGGTTACCTTCAAAGAGCTATTCTGGTGACATAAATAAAATGAATTAGATTCACGCAGCTAGGCAGTGGGCATGCTGGGAGCAGAGGCAGGTACTTGGCCCTGAAACCCTTTCGGCACAGCTCCTGGAGTAATTAATTGTTCTCCCTTTTCAACACGTATTGCGTGGGAACGTGTGAAGGATGGCTACTCTCTCCTCTGATGACAGTGACATCAAGCCACACGTGCTCATTGTGATGCTGTATGTACAAAGGCCACCCAGTGGTGGATCTGGCTCACACAGGGGTCCCAGGAACGCTGGCTTTGATGGGGTCGGCATGGTTCATCCTTTTTAACCTCCAGCTTCCTTCAGAACCTGTGCTTCTCTCCAGGTGATACGCAGGTTTCTCCACTTATTCTGTGTCTGGATTGTGAGAGCTTCAGGGTTTTAGGAATGTCCCTGCGGAGTGTGCGGAACTCCAGATTTCTCTGTTCTTATCCAGACTGGTCCTGCACGGCAAATAGCAGGTCCGGAAAAACTGAGAGGCCACAGCTGTCGTTCCCGCAGCACCAGTCCCCGTGGAGAGACCACTGCACTCATGAGGAGAGATTAAGGAAAGCAACCGGTCTCAGGCGTGTTCGTCTGCAGACGTTTCCTGTGGTGTGGGTTCCGCCTTACGGCATGTGACAGACTCCTGGGAAAGATGAGCACCGCACTCAACGCCGCACACAGCTGCCGGAATCCACGCGCCACCGTGGGTCCTAACGTGGGATGTCCGGTTCAGGCTCAGGAGGTGTTTGCGTATCCATGTCGCTTTGCTGTTCTGCAGGTAAAGGAGTCGGTGCTTGTTTCATTTACTAATAACAGCTGCCACGGTCTCCTCTTCTGGCCGTTGGAGGTCTGCTGCTTTTCCTGGGTATTGCAGGGCAATCAGCTTCTCAGGAGTGGGCACAACTGTGTATTGGAAGTGCCCCAATCCCTATACAGACCTCATCCAAATCATGTATGCGAGTGACATGAGTACTCGTGATGAGGGCACTGAGGTTTGGTTTCGGGTTTGGTGTAGGGTATTGATGATGTGACGGCACCAAAGTGTACGTTTTGGGGGAGCTCTGGGTAGCTGGGGACGCAGTTAACCAGAGCACGTGTTTCAGGAGCACTCCCTCTTTGGATGATGCAGGAGTCGTGTCTGAGTTAAGCCAGACAAATTTGTCGGGAGTTCTCAGAAGTTTCCTCCAGCGTGCATCAGCCCTTGAGGCTCAGTGTGTGGCCAGCACTCTCATCCTTCAGCCGTGTTTCTCGGACGCCCCATGGCTCAGGGCTCAGCGGTATACTTCTGTTAAGTAACATCTGCTGTGCAAGAGATCAAAAGCTAAATAGCTTAAGGTAAGGTTTTTAATTATTCTTCTGTTGGCTTACTTGCTTGGTTTTTTAAATTGCCGTTCATAAAACCACATTTAATGAAGAAAAGATTTTTCTGGATGTTTTGACTCCAAGTTCACCTTCTTCCATTAATTTATTTGTTTTCTGTGAGAAGCACACTGGACTTCGTAGAGACTGGGCACAGCAGCCCACGCAGCATGCACACTGGAGTGACCAGCATTGTTAGTGACAAAGACTCAGATCCCTTGATCCTGCACTGTTCTGGCTCCTCGGGGCCTTTCAACCTCACCTGGCACAATACCCCAGCCATTCTTTCCTATGTCCCTTATCCCGGCTTTTGGGCCACTGTGCAAACTCCATAAGAACAGTTGCTCTTTGAATGTTCTTGAATAGTTTTCTCACTTTAAGAGATAATACTAGGGACATAAAGCAAAAGCACTAGAAATTTGACTTTGATGAACTACACTAGCATAATAATGGCAGATAATGCCAAACTTGGACTTATACCACCATAACCCACCCAGCCCAAGACACACACACACACTCCTTCCTCTTATACAATTTGCAGGCCCAGAAGAAATCATTCACAAAGGATGGGTCTTTTCAAATAAAATACCAATTCTCTTCTGTAAAAACTTATTTCAATAGATTTCTCCTCAAATATAGCCTTGACAAAGTCAGATGAACTCATGAGCATCTCACAGGCCAAGAACCCAGGAGGCTCAAGATGCCTGGGCATTTTTCCATCACATCCAATGCCCACATAAGGAATTCATAAGCTAAGACTGATGTGGAAGCACCCAGCAGACATGGGAAGAAGGGAAAAAGTAGAGTCACAAGGTAGCACACAGTGGGAGCTCTTTCAGCATCCATGCTACAGGACCTAATCTACAAGTGGCTATGTGGACTCCTGGCCATTTAGCAAGATCATATAGAATGCCAAAGACAACAATATTTTGCATAGGAAGACACCAAGGTCCAGGGAGATGAAGTAGGTAACTCAAGGTCATACAAACCCATCTAGGAATAGGATTCTGGATTTCTGATTCCCATCCATACTGTCCCACAAGGCTTCCCTTGTTGCCTATATTTCATCCTTTTGAAAGAAGATATCTGCATTCATTCATCCAGTCCACCCATGCATCCATGTATCATCCATTCATCCAATTTATCCATGCATCCATCCATCATCTATCCATGCACCCATCCATCGTCCATCCATCCATTCATCCATCCATCCTTCATCTACCCAACCCATTCACCCATCCACTCATCCCTCATCTGTCCATCCATTATTATCTGTATGTCCCACCTACATGTAGATGGGAACTCTGGGCATCTGCTTTGGACACACCTGTTACCACATCTCCCGGGGTGGCTTTGTCCCAGTCCACAATGACAAATGAGTGGCAGCCTTCCATAGCAACAATGGTGATATTGCGGGGGGCATGCTGAGGTGGCATGTCGCTCTTCCTCATGTCAGTTGGAATGATTTCATCCAGGCTCTCCACTTGGAAGTGATCCAGAGCATCGGTCAGAGAGCAAGGAGCTGATGGGTCTTTATTCAGGTACGTCACATAAGGAGCTATAAAAGAACAGAGATACCCAGTTAGGTTGCTGAAGGCTCCTCTGGAGGCAGAAGCATAATGTCTGCTCCATGGAGTAGACCAACCATTCAGTCTCTCCCTGCTAGACAGAGGTTCCAGGGCCAGCAGCCCTGATGCCAGACTCAGAAGCACATCCCTACTCTCCTTAACGGATCCATGTATTCACATCTGTTAATCTGGTGGCTTCAAAATATCCTGTTGCCCCATTGACATTGATGACTATGGCCTCAAGGCAACGTTGAAAGATCCTCAAACTGCAATTCATAAGTGAGGACTGCAGTGTTTTACCATTTCTATGCCCAAACATTTGGGAAAGTGTGAATCAGGCCCAGCTGGGGTTTTCTCAACACAGTTCATTTCCTAGACAGTCTTGAGACCAAAAAGAAATATACACTGGTCAAGATATACAACCTCTAGCCTCAGTCCCAGGAGGCCTTCCCGAGGGCTTCAGAGACCCCCATAACCATCTGGAATGTCTGCAAAGTCCAGATCTAAACAGCCTTCTACAACGTTTCTGCTCAGCACAATAACAGCTACTCACAGTTATGAGCAAGTTGAAGCTTTTTCTACACACATTCTCTCAGTGGGTACAAGGGCACCGGGAATAAGGCAGGGCATGGACTGGTGTCCCATGCCCCAGCTGAGTCTGTTGGCACTGAGAGGCCCACGAAACAGGGGCGGAGCAGGAGACTCTGCCTCTGGCCCCCCCTCTTTTTGTTACATACGCTTTCTAAGAAGTTAGAAATGTCAGGGAATCCGAGTTGGGCTTTCCACATGCAAGGCTCCCAACTGCTCTCATGTAAAACATTTCTAGTACTTTCTAAATGTTGCATTGCATCTTTTAATGTAGGTTCTCGTTCTCGGTGGCCATTTATGATAAAAAGCAATTTTTGGCTCTCTGTTTTCCAGTAATTTGTATAAAATTAGGCCTTTAGGGCTTGTCCACGGAGCTCATCAGGAAGTTTTGGGGAGTAATCCCCCATGCTTTATAGAATTATAGACACATAACAAGAGCCAGACAACGTAAGCCTCTCCGTCTTCAGCAGAGCCCTTGGAGCAGCTGGTGATAGTGCTGGAAGGAGAGCAGGGTCTGCCCGGACCGCAGAGTCCGTGTGGTGCATCAGGCAGGCCGCGGGCCGCCGCGGGCCAGCATGAGCGTCGGCTGCAGGAATGCGGCCTCCGTCAGTGACTCTTCCCTGCAAGTGCAGGGACTTGAGACACTCAGTGTCCATCTTGGCTGGCAAGAGCTGTTCTCTGCTTGTGGCAGAACATTTGTTTTGGAAACAAAAAAGTGTGACATTACTTGAAGCTGTTGCCAGTCTCTACTTAGTCATATATTATTTTTTCCACTTAGTAATATATTAATCTAAGTGTCTCATTAGTGAAGTTCATTAAGGGCATGGGGGGGAAAAAAAGTCTCCCAAAGGGAATGAAACCCAGGTTAGCGAAATAGAATTTCCTCTCGAAATTGTTTTCACGACTAACAAAAAAAGAGTGAAATAAATTTCTAGGTTCCAAGTCCTGGGGGCCAATGAGAAAGATGCGGAATAACCAGGAAGCAGCCTCAGCTCTGGGGGCCTGTAGGAAGCTGTAGCGGCTCAATTCCGCCAACTGCTCATCTTTGGGGAAGACTTTAACCACGTGTAGGCAAAGCCCAGAAGAACTCGCATCTTAGAGAAGTTAGCTGTGATAAAAATACTTGTATTCTCCCTGGGCAGTCTGGCTTAGCGGTCAGAGTGTCGGCCCGAGGACCGAAGGGTTTTGGGTTTGATTCTGGCCAAGGGCATGTACCTCGGTTGCGGTTCAGTCCCCGGCCCTGGTTGGGGTTGTATAGGAGGCAACCAATCGGTGTGTCTGTTTCACATCGATGTCTCTCTCCCTTTCTCTCTCTCCCTCCTTCTCACTCTATCTGAAGATAAATGGAAAAATATCCTCAGGTGAGGATTTAAAAATACTTGTGTTCCCGGGGCCTGGTGGTTTTCACGTGTTCCTTGCTCTTAGGCCCCACAGGGCAGCCTTGCTGGGCTCTCCTCTCGGTTCCAGTGTTGCCCCGTGTGCCCACGGGGCAGCGAGCTCGGGCATCCAGCAGGGGCAGCCACGCCTGCCAGAGGGAGCTTCCACTCTGGGAAAACCCTCCGAATGGGCCTTCTCGGCCAGGCCCAGAGGTCAGCTGTGCTCTTCTTCAAAGAACAACAGTTAAAAACCCACGTGTCTCTGATTAGGAAAGTTCTGTTTACCAACAAATCGTTTCTTTCCAGCCAGATCGAATTCTTCCTCAGGAAAGGAGCTGATGGTGCCTTCTGGCGGGATGACAGCGGGCGGGGCCGGCGCGGTGGAGGGCTCGCGGGGGGCCGGGGGCCTCGGGGTCTGAAGCTCGTAATCTGAAATGACAGAGCTTTTGTAACTGGGCACTTCCTGAAAAGATACCTTCCTAAAACTCAACTCCAGACCACAGCACGCTCACACGCCTCAGGTACGTGCCCTCCCGAATCTGAACTTGTTTCTAGTAAGACAGCATTTCCCCACCCCCGTGCCCGCAGAATAGCAGCTGCAGCAAAGAGAGGACGGGAAAAAGAAACAGGTATGACCAGAAAAAGGAGATTTTAGAATCAAAGCTGGAGAGAGCCGCAGCCTTTATCCAGTTCAGTACCTTCCGGTTACTGGTCCACGGCCATTCTCTACCTAAATCATTTGCCGTTTTAGAACCTCAAAGATTCGCATTAGGAAGTACACTTGATTTTTCTTTTCCTTGATCATCTTTTGGCTTTTTTCAGGGGAGGAGGAGGGATTAATTCTACCAAGAGAAATAATCTTTTAACATTTAAAAAAGGAAATAAAACTCTGCTCCCTGTTCAACTACTCAAAGATAATAGAAAGGAGCACCGTGTTGTCAAAGGTGCTAACACCTTCCTCTGCTTTCTGACACCTGGTTTTTTTTTAAGTCCGCTTTTATTTGAAAGATTAAACCACTACATCAAACTCTATTATGATTACATCAAGGGAGACACTGCGCCGACGTCTGTGATTTAGGACCACTGGCGCTCCGGAGAAAAGCCAGGAGGGCAAGTGCACAGGCCGCCCTAGGCTGGGGCAAGAGGCCCACAGGAATTTCTCCACCTGCAGAGGCAACTGTAAAACACGCAGAGGAGTCACAGGTCGGAAGTAGAACAACATTCATTACCATTCACTGAGAAACCGGACCAGATGCTACCCGAGGCATTTTGTATTCTTAATCTTGTAAACTTACCCTTCCTGGGAAAGATCCCGTGATAGAAAACATCCGCCACATTGCATTGTTTAGGGGAATTAGAAAAAGAAAGAAAACGGAAGAATGAGAAGAGCCAAGAGGGGAAGCTGAGACACTGATTAGTTTTGTTCTTTTTTTTAAAAAATGTATCTTTATTGTTGAAAGTATCATAGATGTCCCGGCAATTGACCCCCTCCACCCTTCTCCCATTCCCCCCAGGACGTTGGTGGTTTTACAAAGAGCGGTGTTGGGGGGGGGCTCAGACCTGCAGCCCCTGATTTCTGGAGGAAGGAGGGGCCAGAAGGGAGCAGAGGGCACCTGTCCGGCAGCTGTGCTGTCAATCAAGCACACTCTTTCTTTCATCAAATATATATTGGGGGTAACTTAGAAGCGTGGGGTACGGCCACCCAACCCATGAAGGAAACTGAGATTCAGATCACCCACTTAGTGGTTAAGATCCTCCCATCAGGAAAGAAATTATCCAAATCATGTGCTTAAAATCAGCTAGTACCTTCCTCATAGACAACGTAGGCCTCCTCCGTGGGTGTGGCCAGGCTGGTCTCCAATCCTGAGAAATCATCTAGAGAAGGAAGGAGAAGGGGTCAACAGTGCCCAGGCTTTCTTCCCAGGCGTCTCAGAATCGAGTCCAGTGCACAGTGGTTCATCCTCCACGGCTGTGTCATGGGAACAAGTCCGCAAAGCCAGGGCCTCCCGTGCGTGCTCAGAAGGAAGAGCAGAGGTAGACCCAGACCTCTGCTCATGCTCAGAGCAGGGCACTTGGATGCCCTCCCACCATCAGAGGAGAGACCCTGCCCCGCGGCTGGCCCTCAGCACAGCAGGTGCTTCCTGACCTCCCTCTCGCCCCCTCAGTGCCCACCCCCCGCCCTGCCCAGGTGGCTCTCAGCATGCTGGGGGGTCCGCTGGCCCATCCTGCCACAGGCCTGAGAACAGGCATTCTCGGGAAGCAGCAAGGAGACTGGGAAGAGAGTGGGTGAGCTGGTGCTCAGGATGGAGACAAGTCCTCCACCTGCAGGCTCGTCGGATTGCATTCTCTCCGCGCCCTCTGGCCTCTCGCATGTTCTAGAAGCAGACCGACTTCCTGCCTCCCCTACGCTCTAACTTTGCAAACCACACCGACTGAGTTCCCTGTGCTTCAAGAGTCCCTCTAACCTCCCACCCTCTCTCCAAGACTCGGGAGGTAAACCTGTGCTAGTCAGACTTCTGAACTTGCACATGAAGCTTGTAAACAATATTCCAATGATTACAAATTTCTCTTTACAAACAGGTTGAGCTTTACTTACAAAACCACTGGCTCTGTTATGACTGCAGAATCATCCTTGAAATGCAACTTATAGTATTTCATATGTGATTTATTTTCTGTGTCCCAGGAAGCCCTAATTATAAGAACTGTTATTTAAATGACTATATTAATGGTGGAACTGATATTACGAGCATGCATAACAACATGGTTAAGCAAGCTGAGTGGCTGTTTTTTTGGTGTCAAAAAAACAAAACACCACCATTTTTTGCCACCATTATCTGGATATTTTGAGCAGAAGTCTTTCTGAGAAGACGCAAGGAAATCAATGTATCATTTCTCTACTTGGCGGAATGTAGAAGCAGCTATAAAGAAAAGAATGTCTTTCTGTAGCTGGTAAAATCTTGTGGCAAAAAGTTTTCCTTTTCAAAAACATCAGAAGCATTTCTTCCCTCTTTGGGACCGGAAGTCCACAGCAATTATACCGAACTCAACTCAGCGCAACTAAAAGGCAGGGGGGAGGGGCAGGCAGAGAAATAGCCACTTTCTGAGACGCCCCTGGGCAGCGGGCGCTTTCTCCCTTGTATTTCTGAGCTCACCCTCACATACAACTCTTAAGACACACAGGATTCTACCCACTTCGCAGCCAAGGACACCAAGGATCTAGTGCGCCTGAGCCACACAGCTGTGAATAGAGCTAAAACTGACTTGGAACCTCAAACCCTGTGGCTCCGAAGACTGTGCACTTTACCCTTCATAAAACTGCCTCCACTTTTAAAGAGTTCAACTAACCAATGAAATTGCTCTTACACCCTCAGATGTTCTACTAGAATCCTCATTCCACGGCATACTAAAGGGGAAATTGAAGTAGAAAGTGTATGAACTCTCTTCCTTCAAAAACTACAGGCACCGATTTGAATTTTCCATTGTTAGAAAATCAGTGATCATTCCCTAGAGATATTCCAGTAGAAGCATGCACTGGCCTACTGTGAGCCTGCTCTGGACATCATGACAAAGCCCACCGGCAGAGGATGTCACGTTGCCTGTCCAGCCCCTCCAAGGAACAGAATGCAGGCCCGAAGCCGCCAGGGACCTGTGAGATGCCAGGGTCCACTTTACCGTGGCGGTGGTAACACTGGGCGGGTTCTGAGGGGGCCAATGAATGTCCACAAGACAGAAGTGGTAAATCATCCACCCTCAGGGCTCACAACCGTCACTGCACGAAAACCTATTAGACGTGATTTTCCCTTTCGTCACTCCAGTGTCAATATATCTGGATCCAAGAGGAATTACTTCTGGGCTGGTTCAAATCAGGCGGTTTTCAAGTTCATAGCACCGAAGGTTTGAGGTTCTCCGGCCATTATTCCCTGGAACAGGCTTTTCTTTCCCTCGTCCACTGAACTGTTAAGAACATAGTCTTGTTTTTCCTCATTATCGGTTCAGATCCATTTCTTTTCCCTGTTATTTTTGGCCAAGTCAAACATGAAAACATTGTATAATTTTTGCATCTCAGAGTGAACAAGAAAAGGGAAAAGTATAGGGTGTCCTTGGTGGATTCCGGGGGTTACGTGCAATTCCTGGAGGTGCTGCAATACCCCAGCGTGGCAGCCGGTCACAGAAATGATGCCTTTGACCTCAAACCGGGATCACTTCTTGAGGTGAGTGACAGTTACATCTGGCAAAAGTAAGCAGGGTACTGAGTAATTTAGTGCTCCCTTTTTTAAAAAAGATCAAGTCAGGCATATTTTTCTAAAGAAGCTCTATCTTGATTCCAAGTAAAAGTGACTTCTGAGATGTAATGGTGTAATTGCTTAAAATAAATAAATAAATAAAACCAACCATGTGAATGCCTTTGAAACCATTTGGAGCTATGTAAGACTGGATGTTTATGAGTCAACCCCACTCAATGTTAAAGGCTCCACTTCTTCATATAAAAGTGATGCCAGCCACTAGCCATGGGGGGATGGTTTATTCTCTTGAGTGGTTTATTCAGATGGCCATTAAAATATTCATGCAAAATATCACCAAAAAATTAGGGCCTCAGCTCCAGAGATATTTTAAAAAACTATAAAAAAAATAATCTCAGTAGAAGTTTAGAGAGGAGGTGAGTGACCGCCATTTGAAACCCAAGGATATTAGCAAAGTGTACGGGTTTGGTCCAGCTTCAGTGAAGTTTTCATTATTCTCTTTGTCTTTTCAGTCTTGAGAGCAAGCTGTGGCGGGCTGGGAACATTCCACAGTGACTGATGCTTTTCTGAGAGAGGTCCCACAGTCTGCCACAGGCGGTTGAAGATACTCGGCTGGCTCACCATATTTCCAAACACACGGTCACATCAGATCCGCTGCAGGAACAGAACCTGAAAGACAAGGGCACTGGCTCTTACTTCTCGGGTGGAAACGGAGATGCCTGTTGTGTAAGGTATTGTTTAGACACCCAAAGATGAAAGAATAGGTACCGTGAAGAAGCAGCATTCTCCCTACTGCAAGGACTTCAGTATCTGATGGGGAAGTCAGAGCAGGCAAAACGTATCTGTGCGCATGCGTGTGTGTGGAGGGAGAGAGGGTAAGGGAGGGGAGGGGAGGGGAAGAAGGGAGGGGAGGAGGGAAGGGAGGGGAGGGGAGAAAGCAACAATACATTGGAAACAAGTGTATAATACACATCTATACCCACAGGAAGATACACACAAGGGTGGCATCCATAACAAATGCAAAAGTATATCAATACACTTAAATCACTGGCAAGGCTGAATGACAGATACAGATAGAACGTTGTTTCAAAGCAGTGCTTTGAAGGGAAGGAGGCATGCTTTAACCAAGGGAGCCAAGACTATGAGATCTGAAAAGATGATTTTAAAAGTAGTGGGCTAGAAACAAAATTTTAGGACTTTGACAATGGCATATAATGACAAATGTTGACTAGATGAGGGTTGGGGGTGCTTGGAAGAGCAGGTATTCATTCACTGACACTAATGCTGGTTCTCAGTCATTATTACTACAACAGTAAACATGTCGGGCTACTAGGCTGCGAAGCGCCATGGCCAATGTCGCATGGTAAATACTGGTTGCGATACATGGACCCCAGACCTTGAGAGTGTGCACCGTGGACTGATCTACGCCTAACACACATGAAAGAAGGGGCTGAGGGGACACAGACTGGAGAGCAGAGGTAGAGGCAGGGAGCCGTGACGGGTGGTTCTGCGACTGTCACTCTGCGGAGATCAGAGCCTCCTACTGAAAGCCTCTCTCTGTCTGCGTGTCCGTCATTGCAGCGTTTATAGAATGTGTCGGCACATCAAGGTCATTACTACATGTTCAACCAAGAAATGGCAAACTTTTGTGTTTTATAGACAATGCATAGCATTTTCTAGAGTAAGTTTGACTCTGATTTTCAAATTGCAGTTGACCCTTGAACAACACAGGGATCAGTAGCATCAACTGCCCACACAGTAAAAAATCTTAGTATAACCTTAGACTCTTCCAAAACTTAACTACTAATAGCCTACTGTTGACTGGAAACCTTACCAATACCATAAATGGTTAACACATATTTTATATGTTATATATATAAAATACTGTATTCTTACGATAAAGCTAGAGAAAAAGACATTAAGAAAATCATAACAAAAAGACATTTACAGTTTTTATTGAAAAAAATCTACATATAAGTGGACCTGTGCATTAAAACCTGTTGTTCAAGAGTCAACTATATTTTTTAAATAATGAATTATAATATTGTTTAAAAATGATACTTTTTTCCTTAAATTTAATTTTTCCCCAGGACTTGTACTGATTTCTACTTATTTTGAAAATGCTGCCTAGAGGCAAGTTATTATTAATACTTGGATATTAGGGAATCCGAAGAATGTACATGGGTGAGGAAAAGAAATACACATACAGAGACAAGCAGAGAGAGGTTTACGGTTGTACTACAAATAAATAATACAAAAATTAGTAGATAATAATACAAGAAAAAACTGTTTCATGTACTCAAAACTGTAAACCTACTTTTGCCCACCCCTGTATATATATCATGACTTGCAAAGGAGAAACAACATGCCAAGAAAAATATCAACTTTCATGCCAAATAAAAGGCCAAAAATTACAAAGTCAATGGAAAGAACATCTAAAAGCCTATATAAAAGCAGACAAAAGAAAATTCAAAATATTGATAACAGTCATTAAAGCAAAATCCAAAAGTCACTTTTCTGTTTACAACCAATTATCAAGTAAATATCTATTCTAACCATAGTTCAGGTTTTAGAAATACATAAACACCTGAATGTGTGCAGAAGAGGTCAAGGAAAATGCACGCGACGTTCATACCTGCCGTCCGAAGGCGAACTCGGATTCACATTCACAGACGGAGGGAACTGCCTCCCCAGGGCTCCTCTTACTCAGCATGTTTCCTTGCTCTTCGGTGGGGATTTTTCATGTGTGAAATACTCTTCTTTAGTTGGAACTTCTTCGTGCAAAGACAGACTTCAAACAGAATTCCCGCCTTGGCCACGGCCTTCGAGTTCACGCCGCCTGGGGCTCATCGCGGTCCGCGGTGCTGTGTGAGAATTCTGGGCAGCAGACGACGGCGGAAGGGGGTCTTCACTCTGCATTAGCTTAGAGACAGACACTGCGGTCCACCTGGACCTGAGGGGCAGAAGGCGGGCTTGTCTCCTGCAAGCCTGAAGAAATGCAGGGCGACCTCTTCCGAAGCAGCTGGAACAGGGACGCGGCAGCAAAGATGACGACGTGTCGGCTCCACCACGACCTGACCGAAGTGTCCTAGCTCCGTTGTCTAAGGGGGAGCAGGCAGTTGTCGGGGGCGACACGCGCGGGCAGAGGACAGCCCGACTGGGTACCACGAAGCAGCGAAATGGTGCAGCCCCCGTCCCCCAGGGCAAAGCCCTCCTGCTGATCAAAAAAGGGTTCCGCCGCCAAACGTGCTTGGGAAACACGGCTTTTCTTGGAAATTCACAATACAAATGATCCAACAGTAAGAAATGCATTTAACTTTGGTTAAATCCCATAACCACAGAAACACACACACACACACACGCACACACACACATACATACATATATATGTATCCATCTATCTATCTAACAAGTACTAACCCTCTAATACCCAGGGAGACTTCGGAAATGCTGGTCCAAACGAACATCCCGTGCTTTAGCTAATTTTCTGACGGGTTGTGGAAAGGGTTGACAGAACATGGGAGGCTCCGTTACACTTGAATTTTAGGTAAATAGCAAACAATGTATCATGTAAGCATGTCCCGGGCAGTGTTTTTATTTGCTCCATCTGACAGCCCAGCTGTGGTACAGTGCTGTTGAACAAACCTTGTAGGATTAGAAACCCCCTAGTTTCCAGCCCACCGTGCACCCTACTGCTCCCTGCAGCCTTTGGGACCCTCCCCTGAAAGGTAGCAGGCCAGTTACCTGGGCTACCATAAGAATGGAGATGGTTACCTTCTTCAGGGTAGCACTCCGGCACCCCACTTGAGCCCATTATCAGGTTGCCATCTTCGTCATGCCGCTCCAGAGTCCCAGGGGGACAGGTGGGGACGGGGGTGGTGGTGGTAGTGGTGGTTGTCTGTGTAGTGGTTCGGATGGTGGTCGTTGGGCGCATGGTGGTGGTGGTTCGGTGGGTGGTGATCCTAGGCCGCAGGGTTGTGGTGGGCCGAGGGGTGGTGGTGGGTCTCGTGGTTGTGGTGGGGGCACGGGTGGTTGTCTTGATGACCTCCAAGCCCACCAGGGGCTTCCCTCCAAGACTCAAAATTGGCTTGTCCTGGGCACTGGCCAGGGGTTTGCCATGTCGCCCCTGCCCGAATAGGGGGAGCCCGTCAGGGCTCACCACCGGGGTCCCTCCCAGATCTGAAACAAAATCATATACAGTCTGTGCAAAGAGCGGACATGATCAGAGGAAATAAAAAACAAGTGGAAAGTGTCTTCATAAAATGTATTATTCTTATATTTTAATTAGTAAAAGAGACAAAGAAATAATTAAGAGGGGTATCAGCTGAGGTCGAAATGTCTGCTGCTACCCAGAAATTTCTGGACTTCCTATATTGACCATTAATTTCTATTACCTTATCTAAATTAATCAACAGTTCATCAATAGGCCCCATTACCCTGAAATAACTCTTAGTCTTTAGTAAGAAAAGTAATTCTTTTCTCTTTCTCCTTCCTACACCTAAGGAGAAACGTATTACTTTGGACCAGGGGTGGCAAATATTTTCTGTAAAAAACAGAGAGTAAGCACTTAAAGTCTGATGGGCCAGACAGTACCTGTTGAAACCACCCAACTCTGCCATTGAGGGCAGGAAAAGCCCTGGGTCCCCATAACCCTCTGTGCTTGAGCACTGAGACATGCCTTTCATATCATTTCCACGCGTCACGAACATTACTATTCTTTGATTTGTTTGGCAATCATTTAGAAACGAAAAAACCCTTCTGAGCACACGGGCCACACAGAAACGGGCAGCAGACAGGGTCTGGACTCCTGCTCACGGCTGCCAATTTCCAGAACAGAGCTGGGTACCACCTTTTCTAAGACAGTGGCTTGTATTGGAAGAATTGCTGACAGTTATATCAAGAAAAAAGCACCTGGCCCAAAGTAACGAGACCGAGAGTAGCCACTAAACATCAGGGAGAGGAGGGAAAGAGCTGTTATTCCACAGCGAAGCCAGGACACTTGTTCCTTCAGGACCATTCTCACTTACCCACAATGGTTTGGCCGTCTCCTCCTAGTTTCACCCGAAGAGGATTGCCTTGTGAGTCTTGGAGGTACCTTCCTTCTGCATTCAATACTAACCCACGATCAAGATCCACGACCTAAATCCACGACACAGAGTAAAGACTATATTGGACATTTCAAAATGTTCACATTCATCCAACCACATAAATACATGCATGAAGCTTCCACAGAAGGAAACCCTGAAGCAGCGGTTCTCAACCTGTGGGCCGCGACCCCTTTGGGAGTCAAATGACCGTTTCACAGGGGTCGCCTAAGACCATCGGAAAACACATATTTCCAATGGTCTTAGGCACCGAGACACCGCTCCTCTATCCATCTCCAGGCGGGTCCGTCCACGTGCAGATACACCCACATACAACATGAGGAGCTGTATTAAAGGGTCGGGCATTAGGAAGGTTGAGAACCACTGCCCTAAAGTAAGTAGGAAACATTATTTTTGTCAGCATCCTTCATAAGGTTTAATAAGAATAAAGTATAAAACAGTCATATTTCATAATTGCTTACCCATACAGGATGTAAATTAAGTTTCTAAAATATACAAAAAAATGTTCAAAAATACTTTTACCATTTAGTACATTGTATGTAAGGCTGAAAAGTAGGAAACAATCCACTTATGGAGGGCAGAAATTAAATATGTTATGACATATCCATGTAGTGGAATATTATGCAGCCAGTGAAAAGGACTGAAAAATTCTATATATATTGGCATATAATGATATGAACTCAGATTATAGGACTGATTATTTTTCAAAAATAAAAAATATTTATGTGTTTCTATAAGTATAAAACTGCAGAAAAAAAAATATCTGGAAGGTAATATCCCAAACTGTTAACAGTGATTAACTTTGAAAAGTGGTTTGAGCCCTGGCCGATTTGACTCCGAGGTTAGATCGTCGGCCTTCAGATCAAAGGGTCACTGGGTTCAATTCTGGTCAAGAGCACATACCTGGGTTGCAGTTCAATCCCCGGACCTGGTTGAGGTCATGAGGGAGGCAACCAACTGATGTGTCTTTCTCACATCAATGTCTCTCTCTCTCTCTCTCTCTCCCCCCCCCCCACTCTATCTGAAAATTAGTGGAAAAGTGTCCTCGAGTGAGGATTGAAAAAAGAAGGAAAGTGGTTTGAAATGCTATTATTTTTTCCATATCTGTCTGAATTGTTTTAACCTCTGGCAATGAACATGTATTACTAATGTATTAAAAACATGAAATGTTTCTATTTTACTGTTAATGTTAAACATCAAAGCTACTACAACAAAAACAACTTAATTTGTAATTAAATTGCCCTATATAGTATGTTTGCATAAAGCTTATATTCTAAGGAATTATAAAACTTTCTATTAAAGCCCTGGCCGGTTTGGCTCGGCGGTTAGAGCGTCGGCCTGCGGTCCGGAGAGACCCGGGTTCTGTTCCCGCTAAGGGCATGTACTTTGGTTGCAGTTTGTCCCCGGCCCTGGTTGGTCGTGCGGGTGGCAGCCACTCGATGTGTCCCTTCACGTCGATGTTTCTCACTCTCTCTCCCTTCCTCTTTCTCCCTCCCATTCTATCTCTACAAAAAATGGAAAAATATCCTCGGGTGAGGATAAAAAAAAAAAACAAAAACAAACAAAAAAACTTTCTATTAAAGAACAAATTCGCCCTGGCCGGTTTGGCTCAGCGGTTGGAGCGTTGGCCTGTGGACCAGAGAGTCCTGGATTTGGTTCCCGCTAGGGGCACATACAAAAAAAAAAAAAGAACAAACTCATGCTCCACACTAGTGGTTCTCAATGTATGATCCCAGCCCAGCAGACTCAGTGTCACCTGGGAACTTGTCCGATATGCAGATTACCTGGCCCTCCCACACCATATTTGACAAACCCCCAGTGACTGTGATGCTCACTAATATTTGAGAACCACGACTCTGTACCATTCGGCCAGTGAAGGAACCCTGCAAAGAGGCCACTTTATTGGGTCTTGGCTCAGTAAGTAAAATAAGGCTCATTGATATAAACCCTACTTTTAAATTCTACCCTTACAGTTCAATTCACAAGTGTTTACATGACATTTGCTGTAATATGCATTCTTCCTGCAATATATTTCTGTTCCTTTGAGAAATGATAAGATGTATCTTTAGATAAACATTTCATGAAGTCTTTCAATATGTTTTCCTAAACCTTACGGTTATAAATGGGAAGTGTTGACTGGGAATTCCACCACGAATAACTTATTTATTCTTTCAAAAACTATTTTAAATCTCGGAATATTATAAAGTGTCTGCTCAACGCACCCCAAATCCCTAAACATGTATCTTAAAATGTTTAGTCATTTAAGAAGTTAGCCATTTAGCTTAAACACACATACAATACTGAGACTTCTTTCTTATTTTAGACAAGCAATAATTACTGACAGATTCAAAAGGTGATCAGATCAAACTTGCCCATGTGATTCAGGCAGTTTGCCTATTGATTCTTGTTTGTTCATTTTTACCTTCCTTTTCACAAAGGGTTTGGGACAATTTACAGAACAGATGTGTACTATTAATTGAGTAGTAAACAAACAATAAAGTGGGGAATTAGAAGTTCGTGTGCGGGGCCATGTCTCGGGTTCTATGTCACTGCTGTGGTTAGGCTATGCCTTCGTCTGAGCTCGCTGCCAGTCGAGGCAAATGAGAAACAAAGGCCCATGCCTTCGCTTATTGACTATGAGAAGAAAAACTAGTCAGGAGAATCAAAGATTTTTCTGATTGCTGGAAGCAATGTATGTAGTATAGCATATTGACAGACGAGTGGTTAAGACTAGAGGAAAAGAGGAAAAAGGCTGCTTCATTATTGTTACACAACGTCCACCACTTTTCTCTTCCCAACAGCATGAGGACAACTGAGATGTGGAAAGAAGTTTACCCTACCCACTTTGTTCCTTGAGGGCCATTGATAACTCTTTGTCCGCTCGGTTTTCCGTTACTACCAGGCAGTACTCTCGCTTCTACACTCGGTCTGCCATTATAACCTACACAGTACAGAAACAATAAATAACCTGGTCAATGCAACATTCCTGCAAAGTTGGCTTCATACCAGTCTATAAGCAGCAACACATCATTTCAAAGAGAAACACTAAACAGAATTTTAACCCAATAGCTCATGTATATGAGATAACGATAATCTAAACTGTGACCTCTACGTGATGAATGTGAATGTCAATCAAGACTACAGTGAAGGCCTGGCCAGGTGGCTCGGTGGATTGAGTGTGGTCCCATGGACTGAGAGGTCCCGGTCAGGGCACATGCCTGGGTTTCAGGCTCGATCCCCAGTAAGGAGTGTGAAGGAGGCAGACAACTGATGTTTCTCTCTCACATGTTTCTATCTCTCTCTCCCCATCCTCTCTCTCTAAAAAAAAACAAAACAACAACACACAAAACAGCCCTGGCCAGTTTGGCTCAGCGGTTGGAGAGCCAGCCTGCAGACCAGAGAGTCCCAGGTTCAGTTCCCGCTAGGGGCACGTACCAAGAAAAAAAAAAAAAAAACCACACACACACAAAAAAACACAAAACAAAACACAATAAACAAGCAAAAAGAATCAATTAAACATTTAAATCAATTAAAAACATTAAAAAAATAATTATTAAATTTTAAAAAGAGTACAGTAAAGTCACGGTTTTTTGACAGTATTGGGGAAATGGGAGTGTTCAGCAGCAGTAAATTACCCAGATGAAGACTAAAGGCCTTAGTAGCTGTAGCTTTATTTTAACCAGTCAGAAGTTGGGGGCGGGGCGTAGGGTTGGAAGGACGGAGAAAATTGTCTCTAAAATGTTCTCTGCTGCCCAGCACTTCTCAGCGGATTTACTAAGCTCGTCAACTCTTTCTGGCCGGCTCATCATCAGTCACCGAGCCCAAGTGCACAGTGCTGACTCAGCTTGCTGAGCTCCATGGGGCTGCTGGGGAAGTATCTGCTCAGGGAGGAAGTACGAGGTCCAGTTAGCAGCCCTTTCGGTTGCTGTGTCTGTCTGTCCCTGTCTCCTGCCTTCCTCTCCATCTCATGCCATCTCGGCTACAGGTCAGATAAGGCCCGGCTGGGAGTACTCTGTGGTCCAGCCCCTCTGTGGGATAAAGCACTTGGGCTCTCTGACAACAATTTGTAGGTCAGAGACTTATTTCGTTTGCTCAAATAGTTAATGAAAAGTAAATATTGACTGAGTGCTATGTACAGGGGCACGTTTTACATTTGTTATCAGGGTCTTAGGCTTGTTAAAATAGTCCATTTTAATGGAAAACTGGCCTTGACGTGAGGCACGTGTTCCGTCTTTACGTTGGGCTAAACTAACAATACGTTGTGCAGATGAACAAATACTAATACACATTCATTCAGAAAGGTTCTATTAAGCCCTGATTCCATGCAAGGGGAGTGCAAGGTGCCACTTAACTGAATGAAGACTTAAGGGAAATACCTTCAGTCCTGCCCTGAGGTCCATGTGGACTCCAGTTCACAATGATAGCTGTCCACTTTCCGTCCTCAGTGTTAAGTCACACATCTGCCTATTACAAGTGTGTGTGACAATCGTTTTTAACATGTATTTTCTACAGGTTTTAAACAACATTCACTGAGTGCAACATCTAAGCAATTCATAGCCAAGACATCTGAGTTTGCCCCAGGGAGTGTTCGGCTGAGATTTGCATGCAGAATCAACAAGAACATGATCAAGGTACACAGGACGTATCTGATTCTTGCTGCATTCCTTGAATGTACCCTGACATGTGAACAACTAAAATAACCCAAACACAGGAACCTGAGTTTGGCATCATGTCTGGGACACATTTTCACAGGCGAAGAGCATACGCCTAGGAATTCAAAGGGCAATGTAGCTAGTGGAGTGACCGAGGGCTGTGGATCCGTGTTGGGGTTGGGATTGCAGCTCAGTCACTTCCTAGCTGTCTGACCCGGGCAAGCCACACAGGTCCCTCTGCCCCCGCTCCCTCATCTGAAAATCAGAGAAACCCTGCAAACCCTACCAGACAGTTAAGAGGACGAAATCACGTCATTTGCAAAGCTGCTCACACGGTGCTTGGGTATAGCAGAGCTGGATAGAAAGGAGCTTCTGGGTAATTGCTATGGACACTACTGAACACCGCAATGAAAAAGCGAGTTAAAAACAAAATACCTTGTCTGAGAGGGGGTCTCACAGGCGGGCGTGAGAAAGGGTTCCGGAACCTTGAATTCATCATTCGCTGTCGCAGGGACAGCATGGGGGTGGTGGAGGTGTAGGCCGGAGGGGCGCGCGTGGTGTAACGTGGCCGGGCAGGGGTGCCCACAGGGGCACTGGGGACGCCAGGGCTGCGAGGGGGATGTCTGGGCGGGAGGTGGGAGTCTCTGGGGGAGCTGCCTGGAGGAGGAGGATGCTTCAGAGTGGGGTTCTCATCCTGGGGGGAGCTCCCTCTGCGGGGAGCAGGCACAGTGGCAGACTCTGTCTCAGCACTGTTCCCATCTGCGTACTTGCTGCCCCTGGGGACGGAGGAGGGCCACTTTGAAACAGAGGAAGATAGTGGGTCCTCATCCTTTCCTCTGAAAATCCCAGTGTCTTCATCCTCCTCCTTGGCGGAGACGGACTGCTGAGATTTAGACGTCAGGGGCTCCTTCTTGGATGGTGTGGCCTGAGACTCCCTGTCATTCTTCTCCACCGCTTGGGGCCCTGCCCGGCCGGGGACCCTGGAGCGGGCGGGGGCATAGGGCCTGCCGGGCCTCGGGGAGGAGCCCGTGGGTCTGCGGAGATGATTGTAGCCGGTGCTCCCGGTCGGAGCCTCCACCTGGCGGTGCTTGGGAAGGGCCGCGGTGGTGTCCTTGGCCCCGGCCGAATGTGCGGGCGCCTGGACACCTTGGGCCTCTGCTTCTGTGCTGTCGTCCTGGTTTCCACCATATTTGCTCTCGGAATCCTCATTCTGATTCTGGGGAGACGTGGGGGGCGCCCCTCGGGAGCTCGTGGGGAGGGACGACTCTCTGCTGCTGGACCAGTGAGCGTAAGGGTCGGAGGAGGTGCTCTCCTGCGACGCAGGGTGTGGACGCCCAGCCTGGGGGAACGCGGGCTTCCTTCTGGGCGCGCTGGAGCCGGGGTGGTGCTGGGACTGCGCTGCAGGCAGCCGAGCAGGGGACCTCAGCGTTTTGACAGAATCCCGTTCCTCACCCGAATCTGTGCTCTGTTGCACATCCTGCGCCTTAGGGGACAGAGATGTGTCCGGAAGGTGCGCAGCTGCCCAGGTCCCCGCGGATTTGGGGTTCTCTGCCAGGGGCTGCTTCCGCGGAAGGCTCGAGCCTCTCTGGGGGCCCCTTCTTAGGTGGTCCATGCCCCGGGAGGCAGGCTGCCTGGAGGAGGAAGGCACGTGGTCCTGCACCACCGTAGCTGAAAGGGGCCTTTCGTCTTCTGCTTCGCTCTCCTCCGCGTGGATGCCGGAGCCACGCCTAAGATCAGGAGCTGGGTGAGAATTCCCCCTTGCGTAAACTCGGGGAGACACGGTGGACAACGGGGAGCTGGAGGATTGCAGTCGGGGTCCTCGGCCAGAGCCGAACCTGTTCGGGTATCTACCATGGGCAGCAAAGGGCTTGTTCCTGTGCGCACTGGAATGGCCAGAGGCGGCTGGACCTGTGGGCAGCCGGGCCCGGAGCGTCTGGGCCGTGACCTCGGCCTGCCTCCCTTCATCTTCTGCGTCATCGTCACCATCGATGTCCCCTCTCCCAGGGACCTGCGTCCTTGAGGTGAGGCGTGAGGAGGCCGGGGACGGCTTGGTAGGGCGTGTTGGCGCACTAAGCTTAGCGGCTGGGACATCGTGACCATCCTTACGGCCCCTGGAGAGCGGTGGTGCTGAAGCCCTTGAATTTTCCTCCCCAACCTCAGAATGGGGAGCCCTCCGAGCGGGCAAGGCCGGTTTTGTGCCATGGTGCGCTGGGCTTCTGTTGCGCGGGGCACTGGAGGCCGACTGGCGGCTGGGCCACTGGGCTGGCCGGGCAGGGGATGTACTCTTGGGCCGCAGACGCTCCAAGGAGGCGTCTTTGAGGTGGGGGGAGCCTGCAGCTGGTTCTCCCTCCTCTTCATCCAGTGAATCATTGTCCGTAGAGCTGGAAGGCAGGTTGGCAGGGCCCCGAGGGCTGCCTTCCGTGGGGGTGTGGGGGACAGAAGAGGCAGAGGCCCCCACACGAGGGTGGGAAGGAAGGGAAGAGCCAGGCTTATCCAGACCTTCCTTTCGGGGCAGCGCTGGGGTTCGGACTCGCACTGGAGTCCTTCCAGAAGCAAGGAGGGGGTGCACAGTTCTGCTGGGTGGCCTCTGCTGTCGCTTCTGGTCCTGAGTCTCCGATGGCAAGGTTGGTGGGTCCCCTTGGGAATTCAGCTCCTCCTCATCTGTGAGCTCTGTCGACTGGGGTTTTCTGGGCACCCCACCATTGACCAGTATTTTGTTTTTCAAGTCAAGAAGAGGGTTCTTGACATTTCGGCCTTGGGGAGAAGCAGGCGAAGGGGTGTGTTTTGAGGAAGCCGGGGCTTTGGGAGAAGAGGGCGACTCCGGGGTCCCCGGTTTCCAGCTCTCTTCCGGGTCTGTTTTCTGCTGAGCATCAGACTCGCTGGTCCTGCCTAGAACAGAGTTTTAAAAATTTGCCATCGAAGAGGAAATTCAAAAGCTATGCAACACAAAGCAAGCATGACAGATGGCCGTGGACGCATTTAACACTGGGCATTAATCACCACTCATTCTTCAGAACATTAACAGCAATCTCCTTTAAAGTCCTCTTTTGCACCCTGGCCGGTTTGGCTCAGCGGTTAGAGCATCGGCCTGCGGTCCGGAGAGACCTGGGTTCGGTTCCCGCTAAGGGCGCGTGCTTCGGTTGCAGTTTGTCCCCGGCCCTGGTTGGTCGTGCGGGTGGCAGCCACTCTATGTGTCCCTTCACGTCGATGTTTCTCTCTCTCTCTCTCTTCCTCTCTCTCCCTCCCACTCTATCTGTACAAAAAAATGGAAAAATATCCTCGGGTGAGGATAAAATAAATAAATAAATAAAATAAAGTCCTCTTTTGCTTTAAATATAGTTCTAGAAAATATGTGTGAATTGAATTTCTATATATTGACTTAGGTTATGCCATAGCTTATGATTTGAAGGAATTCTCATATGAGTACTTTGAAGTAATCCATTGATTTTGCAAAAGCAAGATCATATAGAGGATTTTGTTAATAAAACTAATTTTCAGTGTGTTACAAATGTATCATAGCCATTCTTGACAAAGTAAGCAGGAAATTCATAGAAACCTGGCGTAAAATGTTGAATGATTTCTACTCATAATGACATGGGGATGTGTTGTGTGACGGGCAAGTGACTTGGGTGAGTGACATATTTGTAATTTTTGAGGCATTACAAACTAACATGTCCTTACTTTTCTTCTCCTCCTCTATCAAAATCTCTTTAATGGGCCCTGCTCAGCAGTTAGAGGATCGGCCTGCGGTCCAGAGAGACCCGGGTTCAGTTCCCGCTAAGGGCACGTACCTCGTTGCATACAGTTCTGCAACCGACCCTGGTTTGTCCCCGGCCCTGGTTGGGTTGTGCGGGTGGCAACCACTCGATGTGTCCCTTTCATATCGATGTTTCTCTCTCTCTCTCTCTCTTTCTCTCCTTCTCACTCTATCTGAACAAAAAATGGAAAAAAAAAAGTCCTCGGGTGAGGATAAAAAAAAATCTCTTTAATGAATACATTTGTAATTCCAAAATAGAGCCAAAAATAAAAGACTCCTGAGGTAGGCAAAACATTGTGTACCTTCAATGCACCCTTCCTTGCGAGCAGAACTGAGTGAGGAGAGAGAATGTCGGGAAGGGGAATTTGTATAGCAAAGGGGAATCCAGGGAGAGCAAACTTCATCTATTTCTTTTCTTCCAGGACAGAACTGCATGCTATCCGGGTGCCCTGGGGATCTCACAGTATGTAATGCAGGAGAGAGCTGCCGCTATCTGGTGTGAATGAGGGGAAGCAGAGAGGAAATGACCCTCCAGAAGCACCGGCTCCCTTTCCGGAGGTCATTAACTTGCTTCATTTTGATCCTGATCAGACAAACAAGGTCACCGAAATGGAACACAAACTAAACATTTCAAATGCTATTTAGAAATTCAAGAAAGCTAACAGTCAAAAATGTCACATTATACTTGTAAATACGTTCCTCCCCCGTCACCAGAAACTCCAAATCACACAGTGACATACGTACGATTAATCACATAACTCATACATTCATGTTTCTGTAATATGGTAATAGTCATTAGTGTTATTAGCAATCAACATTTTAGGCTTTGGGGAGACTAATTTCTAAAGAGACTATAAAACGTTCTAGAAATCACGGAGCAAACTTAGCCCAAAACATCATGAAAACCCAAGAGCCATGATTCACAGGAACACCCACCACCTGAAGCAAAATGAGGGGAAGAGAGAAACACACATGCTTACCTGTTGGCAGGGCGACAACGAAGGCTTTGGAGTGAGGCCCCATTCCTCTCCTGTTTGCGGCCCGGATTTTGAAAAGATAGCGCTCCCCAGGCTGCAGACCGTCCACTAGGGCAGAGGTCGTCTCTCCGGGATAGGTGAGGGACTTTGCTCCAAATGGCTTGAGAGCCGGGGCGTATGAAAGAATGTATTCTGAAATGATTTGGCAGGCGGTTGGAAGGCGGAACCTGAAAACAGTCCTGTGTCCAGCAGACAGACTGTGCGCGCAGGACTGGTTGGAACGGGCCTCACTGAGACCCATGCTCTAGCGGTGCACGCGAGGAGGCAGCGGGGCGCAGCCGCGGGGGGTGTGCTAGCCTCCCCTAGGGCCTGGGGCCTGGGGCCTGGGGCCTGGGGCCTGGGGCCTGGGGCCTGGGGCCTGGGGCCTGGGGCCTGGGGCCTGGGGCCGGCCCGGGCTGAGAGCTGCCACGGTCCACTCTCTGCCAATTCAACGTACGGAACCCCGGAAGCCGGTCTGCATACACTTTACCAAAGACATTTAGAGCGAGTTTGGTAGTTACAGGGGAGTTGACTAGGACAGAATTAATACGCCCTGAATGGGAGAAACCGTGGAGCAAGAGGTGGCGGCTGCTAGGGGCTGGTTCTGAAGCCCTGTGCCGTCTTCAAGTTCCAGTTCATTAGCCTGGGCTGTTTGGGTCTAAGTTAGGACAACTGAATTTCATGCTTGGAATATCATTTCCCTTTTGTAGGAATGATAAAAACTTCTGAATATATGCAGGTAAGAATATTTCACAGTATTTTCAACTGTGAGGAAAAGTTGCTAAGTCATAGATTTATGCAGTATCTAGTGCTTCTATCTTTAATTGGCTCCATCTATAAACATCTAATGCCCTTGACTGACAATCAGAGCAAATTCAGTCCTAGGACCTAACATATCTCTGTGCTTATATGGAAATATTGTCACATGAGGACGCCGTGCCTTAAAGCACAATTCCACCCTCAACTAAAAACAGCCGTGCCTGTTTCCTCCCAGTGAACTCAAGATTTACAAAACTTACCAAATTAATATGGCCAGGAGCTGACCAAAAAAACTGACTTACAGAAAAACCAAGCAATTCTCATGCTTCCTGTGGGCGCACGGAAGATATTTTCTTCCACCTAAGACCTAATCTTTAAAAAGTATATTAATTTAAAAATTGCCCACCAAAAATGCTTTAGCTGGATTTGTAAAAAAAAAAAAAAAAAAAAAAAAAGCAACATTCTTTTCTTGTTGAAAACGAACAAACTAGTCATTTGTAGTGGTCAAAAGTCAGAATTAAAAGAATGCACTATGCAATTTGGAAATTTAGATTTTTATTTTTTTTATGGATTCAGTTCATTTGGAAAAAATTTACCCATGTCAAAGTATATTCTTCTATTGTGTTTTCTATTTCTCATACATAAAAAATGTCCCAGTATAATTATGAATTTTCAATCCCGCCACTACACCTTTATGAGAACTACTTAAAGCTGGGGTAAGAGCTGTGAGTTCTTTTGGACATAAAAACGCAGCAGCTGCTATTATTTCTGGTAATATTAAATGGGCTCCCAGAAGCTTCTTTCACCAGAGAGAGAGAAACTAAGGTGTGGAGAGGGAAGGAGACTCAGTAGCACGGTGACAATGTGCTCAAGGAGCAATGATTGATTTTCTTATAACTAAAGGGAGGAGTGAGCCAAAAACTGTCCTCTTTCATTTTCCAGAAGCCTTTGCAACATCACAACAACACTCAATTCAGAAGGAGTCAACGTTCAACTTTTTAGAAAAAGAATGATTTAAAAGGGCCAACTAAATATTTCTTCTCTTCATTTGTTTCTAATTTATTCCACTGGGGAAAAACTGAGCAAGAAAAGTACAATATATTCTTTTAAAAACTGGAAAGTGAGAAAACATTACGTTCAGTAATGACTATCTCATGTCTATCTTCCTTCTATTCCATGAAAAGGTCCTTAGGTCAACAAATAACTTACAGTTGTATACAAAAGACAAGTATTCATTTTTTCTTTTCTTTTTTTTTTTTGTTGCTCTGCTTATTGATGCATTTATTGCTTGATTCTTGTATGTGCCCTGACCAGGGATGAACCTGCAACCTTGCTATAATGATGCTCTAACCAACCGAGTTACCTACCGGGCCAGGGCCAGAAAGTCTTAAAGGAAAGTCAACATGCCCAGAACCAAATTCATGATCTTACTAGCCCTTAATCTGAACCATTTGCCATATGTCCACTTCTAGTCCTAATATAAATATCAGTTCTTCAGAGAAGTCTTCCAGGTAGTGTTTTGGTTTTTTTTAAAACTTATCTTTATTGTTGAATGTATTACAGATGTTCCTCATTTTTCCCCCATTAACCTCCTCCTCCCCAATCCCAACCCCCTTCTGTCTTTCCCCACACTGTTGTCTGTGTCCATTGGTTATGCAAATATGCATATAAGTTCTTTGGTTTATTTCTTCCCACCCCTAAACCCCCCTTACCTTTGAGGTTTGTCAGTCTAGCAAGGAATTTGTACTTCTTAATCCCTTCACCTTTTTCACCCATTTCCCCAACCCCCCTCCCATCTGGCAACCAACAAAATGTTCTCTGTATCTATGAGAATGTTTCTGTTCTGCTTGTTCATTTTGTTTGTAGATTCAGTTGTTGATAGATATGTATTCATTGCCATTTTGTTTGTTCATATATTTTATCTTTTTCTTCAAAAAGACCCTTCATCATTTCATATAATAATGGTTTGGTGGTGATGAACTCCTTAAGCTTTTCCTTGTCTGGGAAACTCTAAATGACAGCTTTGCAGGATAGAGTAATCTTGGTTGTTGGTCATTGCTTTTCATCACTCTGAATATTTTTTGCCACTCCCTTCTGGCCTGCAAAGTTTCTTTTGAGAAATCAGCTGACAGCCTAATGGGAACTCCCTTGTAGGTAACTAGCTGCCTTTCTCTTGCTGCTTTTAAGATGCTCTCTTTGTCTTGAACCTTTTGCATTTTGATGATGATGTGTCTTGGTGTGGGCCTCTTGGGGTTCATCTTGTTTGGGACTCTCTGTGCTTCCTGGACTTATATGTCTGTTCCCTTCACCAAGTTAGGAAAGTTCTCTGCCATTATTGTTTCAAATAGGTTTTCAATTTTTTGTTCTCTCTCTTCTCCTTCTGGCACCCCCAAGATGTGAATATAGGCATGCTTGATGTTGTCCCAGAGGCTCCTTACACCATCCTCATTTTTTTGGATTCTTTTTTCTTTTTAGTGTTCTGATTGGGTGTTTTTTGCTTCCTTTTATTCCAAATTGATGGTTTGCTTCTTGGCTTTACCTACTCTACTATTGAATCTGTGTAAATTATTCTTTATTTCAGTTAGTGCCTCCTTCATTTCTGACTGTGCATCCATCATTTCTGACTGGTCCTTTTTTATGCTCTTGAGGCCCTTACTAAGTTCGCTGAGGTTCTCACTAAGTTCATTGAGCATCCTTATAAGCAGTATTTTGAACTCAGCATCTGTTAGGTTGCTTATGTTCATTTTGCTTAGTTCTTTTACTGGAGTTTTGTTCTGTTCTTTCATTTGGGACCTGTGTCTTTGTCTCCTCATTTTGGCTGCCTCTCTGTGTTTGTTTCTGTGTATTACTTAACGAGCGGTATGGGGCTATCTGAGCCCAGATGATGCTTGTTTGAGAGATTTTAGAAAAACCTGAAGCAGGATCCAAGACAGGCCAATCCTATGGTTAAGCAAGTGGCAACAGCTTGGGTGGGCCTGAAAGTTGGGTGGGGCGGGGCCTCAGGGAGTCACCAGGGCGGGGCTACCAGTGTGAGCCAGGTTGCTGGAGTCCCAGATATGGTGACTGTCTGTCACCCCAGGGAAGGGCTCTCCAAAGGAACAAAGGCCTCTGACAGCACTTTCTCCCGGAGAAAGCCCCCTCTCCGGCCCTCGCTCCAGTGCCAAACAGCTCAGTTCTTCCCTGTATGTCTCTGGCGCCCCTCGAGCTGCCTCCCCTCCAAGCTCAGAGGGAGAGAGTCCGATAAGTCCGTGCAGGGCCCTTTAAGGAGCTGCCTGGGGCTCCAGCCACCTCAGCTTCCCTGAGCCTCAGTTCCCGCTGGTTTTCCAGCCAGAAGTGATGGGGATTCTCTTCCTGGCACTGGAACCCTGAGCAGGGCACCTGGTGTGGGACGGGGACCCCTCAGTCCTCAGGGAGGACCTTCCCAGCCGAGGTGTCCTCCTGATTTGTATCCGCCACACGTGGGTGTGGGCCCAGCCCGTCCCCTCCGCCCTCCTACCAGTCTCAGTGTGGCTGCTGCTTTAATTTCGTAGCTGTAGGACGTCCATTCAGCTTGATTTCAGGCGGTTTTGAATGATGGTTGTGCTGTAGTTTGTAACTTTGATGTGGTTGTGGGAGGACGGATACTGCGTTTACCTACGCCGCCATCCTGACCTATCCATTTTTTTTCAATTAAGAAATTCTCAGAGGAGATCAGTGGTGATTTTCTGGATTTCTTTAAGCTTACACAAACTTTTCATAGTTTCTGGATATTAAGATTCATAGTTTCTGAAGAGTTAAACTTGTCTTTCAAGGTTGTGTAACAATAGAAGTACCCTTAGGGTACACTTGTATAAAGTGGTGTCAAGGAAGCAGCTCAGTACGACCCGCTACAATATCTCCTACAGACTTCTGAGAGGTTCTGAACGTTTTTACAGTAAAAAGAAAAAATTTGGCCCTGGCCGGTTTTGCTCAGTGGTTAGAGCATCAGCCTGCTGACCAAAGGGTCACGGGTTTGATTCTGGTTAAAGGCACATATCTTGGTTGCGATTTGTCCCCCACCCTGGTCCGGGTCGTGCGGGAGGCAACCAATCCATCTGTCTCTCTCACATCGATGTTTTTCTCTCTCCCCCCCTCCCACTCTGACTAAAGATAAATGGAAAAATATCCCCAGGTGAAGATTTAAAAAAAAAAAAGGTTTGTGCTTTTATTTAGTATTCTCAACAGACTTTTTGAATTCTATTTGTGAATATTTTATCCTATTTTTAAACCTACAGTATTGTTATTTTAAGGTCATATTTTCCTCAACTCCCCAAAAGTAATTAATTTAAAAGGCTGACAAATAGGAAAAAAAAAAATTTCCATATGATTTCCTGACTTGAGTTTTCAAACCCATTAAAGATATTTTTGGTCCCATTCAAGACACTAATGGTCCCAAGGGCGCCCTGCTCATTCCTCTTCCCGTGATCTTACTGGCACAGTGGAAAGACCCATGCAAGACAAGGGGTCATGTGTATAGCTAAAGGTTAGGATGTCATACCCATGCAATTAAATACAAAAATCTCCCCTCCTATAGCAGCACCCAAATCCATCCTCGTCTGTTGAGTTAGCACCTCACAGAGGTATGTTGCTCCCCTGTTTCTGGTGCGGTCACCAGGCCTGTGATGGGAACCCGTGTTTATCAGAGTCAATATACGTGTGGGGGATTTCCCTCCCCTGTGCACTGAACACATTGAGTAACGAGCATCCTACCTTTCACTTTGCCCTCAGTCTCAGGCAGTGCGTCCCACGCTACAGTGACAGCTGTAGTTTTGCCATTAACTGGCCAGACTTTTAAGTTCTCAGGAGCTGTGGTCGGAGCTACAAAAGGAAGGTCAAGGATCCCAGGTTTAAAAATGTCCTCCTGCGTATTCTAAAAATCAGTGACTCGCAGTCCTTAAGTGCAGTTTTGTTGAAGAGCGACTGTGTTAACCTTCATGGTAATGAGAGAGAATTCTGCATGGATTCTTGTGTCACAGAGTGATTTACATCAGTTCTACCAACTCAGAGAGTGAGCTTAGACATATCTAGAGAAATGCTTTTAGGAATTCTGAGTTTCTCTCATTGCTGAATACTGAAATAGACAAGGATGAAAATCCAGGCTTTTAAAAATAAAGACACGCCCTGGCCGGTTTGGCTCAGCGGTTAGAGCGTCGGCCTGCGGTACAGAGAGACCAGGGTTCGGTTCCCGCTAAGGGCACGTACTTCGGTTGCAGTTTGTCCCCGGCCCTGGTTGGTCGTGCGGGTGGCAGCCACTCGATGTGTCCCTTCACGTCGATGTTTCTCTCTCTCTCTCTCTTCCTCTCTCTCCCTCCCACTCTATCTGAACAAAAAATGGAAAAATGTCCTCGGGTGAGGATAAAAAATAAAATAAAAATAAATAAATAAAAAATAAAAATAAAGACACAATTTTAAAGAAAATAACTGTAACTTTGGATGCAGAGCAGAATTCTCCCCTGGAATCCAATACAGCCTCAGCCTGAGGAAAGAAGTCACCCCTACACTGGGGAGCCATGGAATGTGGGGGTTCACATACATGGGGGATTCACGGATGCTCCACCCTGGGGTCTAAGGTGCTGTGTCAGAATAACAAGCTAATGACAAGAGCCAAGGAAGGATGTCACATGGACCCAAGGAAGTAGTTCCTTAACTTCTCTGGGTCTATGCAGAGACACACTACCAAGACTTAGGCTTAGTATCACTTTAAAAAATGCCTATGCTGGCCTTGATCACTACTGGCTGCTTAAACTGTCTTTCAATCTGATTTTAGGGGTATTCCAAATTGAAAAATCCAAAGACCATTTCCATACTGACCCGATTCCGGAGTTCTCTGGAAGACAGACGTGCTCCATTTGCCATCTCTTTCGCCCTGTGAAATACGGACTGCGAATTCATACATGGTGTCTGGAATCAGGTTCTCGATCAACACGCGCCTGTTGGAGATCTGCTTGTAATCCCACCTCGCCAGCTCCCCCTTTTCCCGGTAGCGCACGGTGTACTGCCTGCAAGGAAGCACAGGGCCACAGGGCACTCGGTGCCAGCTCCCCCCTTTCCCGGTGGCGCACGGTGTACTGCCTGCAAGGAAGCACAGGGCCACAGGGCACTCGGTGCCAGCTCCCCCCTTTCCCGGTGGCGCACGGTGTGCTGCCTGTAAGGAAGCACAGGGCCACAGGGCACTCGGTGCCAGCTCCCCCCTTTCCCGGTGGCGCACGGTGTGCTGCCTGTAAGGAAGCACAGGGCCACAGGGCACTCGGTGCCAGCTCTCTGCGGCCGACGCCAGGCTCCCTGATGCGCTTCCTTCCAGGAAGTGATGGCTTCGGAGGGAAACAGGGAAACCAGAGAGAGAAAAATCTACACTTGTGACTGTGGTACTGGCTCAAAGAATCTACTCAAGTTACAGGCAAAGGTATCTGGCGCCGACCAGGAAAGATGACTCTTAAAGACCGAAGTCTTTCTGCTCAAAAGCTGAAGCAGAGACTCAGAAGGGGGTGGGGAGAAGGGATGGCTTTGATGAGGCAAGTGCCCCGGCGGGGACCTGTGTGCACATGTGCCTGCGTGTTTGTGCGTGTGTGTGGTGCGGAAAGAGAGAGGTAAGAATCAGAACTGGCACAGCGTAGCTAGGCTTTCCAGAAAAGAGAGACAAAAAGACTCACTTCGTTCCAAATCGGGCACGTCTCCTGGGAGGTCAAGGGGCAGGCAGCATGAGGTTTTGAGTGGACTTATGACCATGAGAAGGAGCAAAAACGTGTGACAAACAGAGCAGGACAGGAGAGAAGCTGGGTGACAGCATTCCGCAGCCCCAGGCAGAGGTCACCCTCAACACCCTGGGTGTTGCCAATGACATCTACTGGGCTCCTTTGCCAAGAAATCGCCTCTGTGGACACTCTGCAGTAGAAAGCGCTTGATGCATTAAAAATGTGCTGTTCATTATGACAGTTACTAAGTCTGGATGAGATCTCGGTTGCAGACGCACACACCAATGAACACAAGGGTTCTGTTCAGAAAACTCAAGCCCTCTTTGGTTTTCATCAAGATGCTGGAAACCGAAGTCCATAGGTAATCAGGAACACTCCTCGCTGAGGAGGGCATGTGGCTGGGGGGAGAGACACGGAACCTTCTGAGGTCTTCCAGAGGAAACAGATGGTTTTGTACCAACAGGCAGTGACAGAAACTATACCTAAGTCAAGTAAAAGGATCTATACATATTACATACATTACTCAGCATTATATCTCATTCATTTTTTAAAGCACATTCACTTTTCCTGGTTGCAGATAGGTTCAAAAAATTGCATATAATGTAATGACTAGACCACCAAATCTGTGGCCGTCTCTTGACTGTAGACACGGTTAAGTCACGTGACACACAAACTTTTGATGACTATTTTAATCTACCACTAACTAGACATGGTGTTCAGTGGCTTTCTTAACACAAAAATTATTTTAACCTAATGATTGGCTTTTCTTCTGTATGCTATTGCAAACCCATAAAAACAAAACAAAACAAAACAAAACAAAAAAACAGAACAGCACAACGTCATGGCAGAAGAAAAATGCCGATTCATGTGTATGTGCAAATGGACTCCACACGAAGCAATCCTGTGCTTGCAGAGTGTCTGCAGAGGAACCCTGTCTGCCAGGCATTAGCCAGTGCCTGGCACTCGGCACAGAGCCTTCCTACTGCCACAGCTCAGGGCTGCCCCTCCTCCCCAGGGGCCGGTCTCCTCTGCACATGAATAGAGCATTAATGAGGCAAAGCAAATGCAAATGGAGGTGAAGAAAGAAATGGGATCCAGGACCTCTGCAGACACCAGATAAGGCTGAGCACCAGAGACCAGGGATAGCATTCCAATACGTCAGCAAATAAAATCACTCGAGAAAATACACACGTCTCTTCGGGGCCAGAAAACCCACATCGCTCATACATAACAGACAAAGACATAAGGAAAAGCACCTTGATGCAACGACCTTCTTCTGTTTCTCCACCACAGGATCCACCCAGGCTACCAGCACCGACTGGGATGACATGACCCGGACAGTGATGTCCTCGGGGACGTCCAGTTCGTCCTCTTCTGAAATGACAGTGGGGTGCAGGTCCCTAACAAGAGGCCCTGCCCTTTTCCTCTGGCCTCCAGAGTTCATTATTCGTCCTGTACAATTTTTAAATTGCGTACGCTTGATGTAGATGAAATGCAATAAATAGAAAGTTAAGCAGTTATTTGATTGGTCAAATAATCTCCACTCCTGCCCTTCTTAAACAGTCTAAGAAATGGGCAGTTCGCTTGGAAAGCTGCCAGCCCAGCCCTGGCTGGTTTGGCTCAGCAGTTAGAGGGTCAGTGGGCAGACCAAGGAGTCGTGGGTTCGATTCTTGTCAAGGGCATGTACCTGGTCGGAGTCATGCGGGCCGCAACCAATCGATGTGTGTCTCTCACATCAATCTCTCTCTCTCTCCCACCCTCTTTGAAGATAAATGGAAAAATATCCTCGGGCAAGGATTAAAAAAAAGAAAAGCTGCCAGCACAATGGACATGAAGCACAGTACGAAAGGGAGGCTGTGTTTTGGTCAAAGTCATTCCAATTAACTCGGTATTTTCTCAACATGCGCTTAAGTTTCTGGGAAATAATACAGCCTTTACGCAGAGCAGAACTTCAGGGGCGGACAAGCTCAGCATCTCCTCGGGATCAGGGATGCAGTGAGCACTCTGGTGCGAACAGCAAGGATCCCATCGGGCTCCGTGTCTTCACCTTCCAGAGCGTGGGGTTCCGAGACAAATTACAAAGCAGAATTCGGTTTGCCGGTTTCCAGTAGAACACGCCACAGACACAGAGCTGACAGTTTCTGTTCCAACTCTAGCAAACTGAAATGCAGTTTTGCTTTTGAGTCTCCTGGGCTTTTTGTGTGTGTTTTTGTTTGTTTGTTTGTTCTGTTCTTTTTTTTTTTCCACTTTCAGGGACCCTGTTTGTGGCTTGAGGTACAAGTAGGGAAAGGTGGACATATTTAGCCTGTTAGGCAAAGGGCAGAGGGACCTTCTAGAGCAGAAATTAACAGATAATAAAGATGAAACATGGTGTATGTGGACCTTCTGTTATACAATGTAAAAATTATGATAAATATTAAATTATAAAATATCATGTAATATATATAATGTAATATAAAATTATAATTAACAAATGAATTATAAGCTTATGAAAATAATTATGCTATAAGTTGGCTCTTTAAATAAGAAGCATGATCCAGAAAAGGTGTATGCACTTTGTTGATATATGAGTACTATAAAAGTATCTGTGAATGGCTGGAAACAGTATCCCTTCGCTTGGCACGGGAGCAGAGGTCAGGCTATCTGCATGCCACTACGACATCTGTTCTCTCTGTTCTCTATGCCATTGTCACTCTAGTGGAGCTGAAATAACGTGTGACTGTAATCTTGCATGCCACCCCGTCCCCCCTTCTCTCTCTCTGTTCACATCTATCACCGGGGGACAGCTCCCACGTGGATCGCACTGTGCCCTTACATGGAATAAATGTTTGGCTGCTCATATTATGGCAAATGTAGTGCACAGTGAAGACATTCAAATATACAGGGAAATATATTATATTTTACCACAAAAATACTCTACCCTCTGAGTGTAAAAGAAACACGCTGTGTCCAAGTCGGCCCTGCTGTTTCCTTTACACGCAAGGAAATCCAAGGAACTCATCACCCAGCCAGCAACGCTGGGGAACAGCACTGAATCCACACTAGACCATGGGTTACATCCTTAGAAACATACCTGAAATCTTCCGCTTCGTCAGGGCAGCCCTGTAGACGGGCTGGCTCTGCCCCCGGGAGTTCATGGACTGCAGGGAGACCACGTACACCGACTCGGAGGCTGCGGACCAAGGAGCAGGCGATGAGGCTCTGCCGTCGGCTTTCCCGGGACACACATCCCCCTGTGCTCGGTCCCCTGCCCCTGCCCCCTCCCCAGCTCTTCCTTCTGGGGCACCCCCTCCTCTTCCAGGCAACTAAAGATGAGAACACGGTAGGAACTAAATTCACCCAGAACGCTATTATGTTAGGATACACGAAGGTGATCGTTATATAGAATCCCTGAAAAATGGGTTTCTAGCTCATCAGCATCAAAGAAAGATGAACAATGTTTTAAAAAGAAAGGAATAGTGTATTTATCCACCTAAGTCCCCCAATTTCTTTCTATTTCTAAAATGCAGACGAGGGGTGACTGTTTCGATCTGTCATCAGAAGGAAGGGAGAGGAGACGGGAGCAGCCCTGTGCCGAGTCAGCAGCGCAGTGGGGCATGCGCCCTTCGAACCCCAAATCCAGCCCGGATCCGCTGGACGGAGGCTCTGGAGATTTGCTAAGAGCAAACGGGTGCGTTTAAACGTTCTCTTCGTTTCTGGATTGTTCTCTCCGTTGGTTCCCCACGCTTGCCCTCGCAGAACATCAAACTGAACTCGGCAGAGGCCTCCCTTCGGACCTGCTCGTTCCTCTGGAACTACGCCCGAGTCAACAACGGGAGAACCTGCCATTTATCCAGGAGCGTGCACAGATAGCTACACCTGAAAGAACCCCGAGAAATGAATAACTGACCATTGACATTTTTACATATTTCCAATGTGTTTCTTAGAGTATTTTCTAATGCCCAGATCCTTGATTTGCTGAGCTCTCCAAACTAAACTTGGCCCAAGACTACCATGGAGGAGAGGTTCTGTGCTGCAGGAAATGGGAAGGGCAGCTCACGTGGGCGGGGCCAGCTCTCGCTGTGCTAAGCATTTCCCGTCAATTCTTCATTTAGTCCTGACAAAGGCTGGGGGAGGGGGGCTGCCTGCCCGCATTGTCTCAGATGAGGAGGCCGGCTCCCAGGGTGGGATGACCCACCCAAGGTCATGGAGTAAGCAGCAGGTCTGCAGGGCCCCAAACCCCAGGCTCTGAACAAGCAGGTGAGGAGGGGCAGCCAGGGCCCAGAAAGTGCCCGACACTGGCTGTGCGGGGTTCAACACATGGCGGCATAAAAAGCACACCTTTCTGTGCTTTCGATTATGAATGTAGCGTAGAGAGAAAATTTTCAGAATGACCCCAGAATCACCAACCCAGGGACCCCAATGACCCCCCAGGTACCTCTGTCCCCCTCATTCAACCTCAAGTGTGTAACGTGGCAGAAACCCCGAGAGCCTGGATTTCTGAAGGTCTGTCGTAACTTCTGAAAGACACCAAGCTGTCGCACACTTGTTCTTCCTTGCTGTGCGGGCCCACCTCTGCCTGTGGCGTCTGCTCTGTCCTCTGCCACCCATGCCAAGCCCCCCGCTGTCCCCTGGGCCTCCTTTCACCGGGAGCTCCACTCTGTTTATTGTCTGTCTCTGTGAGGGACTGCGGGGACCCAGTCCCTGGTGGCACAACACACCCAATGAGAAATTGAGTGAACCACTTAGGGTGGGGTTTCAGCTGACAGGACCTCAGGCTCCCTTTTCGCCAAGTTTCCTTAGGGTCCGAATTCTCTGCAGAACCACTTCCGATGGCATCTCTGCCATAAACGGGATTAAAATCCTCAGGTGCATGAACTCAGGGGACAGGCGGCCCACAGCACAGCAGGCCCGCTCCGCCGTCCTCGGGGACCTCATTGCGCCCCACGCTCCGGCCCGCTGGAGCCCGCCTCCGGGAGACCGGTCCTCGCGGCCACCTCCGAGACCTTCATAACGGGAGTCCAGGAGCCTGCACTGGCCGCTCAGGCCGAGACTGGAGCCCACCTCCGACCAGTCTTCAACACTGGCCCAAATCCAAGCAAGAAACAAAAACCCTGCTGTCCTCGGGTGAGCCAGGGCCCCTCCCGAGAAAACGAGGACAGGAAATGGAAACTCAGTGGACTTTGCCAAGAGTCTTGGGCAGGTGGCTGAACAGGGCAGCGGACGGAACCTCGGAGGCTGTCTCAGGGCCACTGCAGCCTGGCCGTCCCCCCAGTGCCCCACCGGGCCCAGCCTGCCCTGGCCAGGGCCCGCCATGCAGCCCAGGGGCCGGCCTGGGGAGTCCCGGGGCCCGGAGCTGCCTGTCCGGAGCCCGCAATGCCGTGTGGCCTGCCTTCAGCAAACAGGGTCTGCGCTCATGCAGCTAGGAGCCTGCGCCCGCCAGGCTTCTTCACAGGTGGGCCTGTCCCGCCACCACCACCCCAGGCTGGGCTCCAAACCGCACTCAGCGGCAGCTGCAGCCCCGGGGGCTCTCGCTGCGGGGTTCTCTTCCCCCTTGCTTCTCCACGCCGGTCCTGTCTGGGTGCCCCGTCTGCCCGTCCCTTGCTGTGTGTGAGAGAAGATCTTACCCTATAACTAAGTAGGTGCCAAAGGGCACCCTCTGCCTTCTCATTGGTGACTCGGCTGATGTCACACAGACCTTCAGCGGTCCACCCTTCCTGCTACTTGGCCTCCTTCCATCCCAGCCCGCCACTGCGTGTGTCCCAGAAGCTGAGCATCGCCTGGCTACCAGTGAATCACACCCTCTCCCTCGCCGAGCACGGACCCCGGTAGGGAGGGAAGGCGGAGTAAGCAGTGGGGCCCAAGCATTCGCTGGCGCGAACTAAGCCGGAGAAACGGGGCAAGTGTCCTTTGACTAGCGAGCCCCAGAATCAGAGGAACTTTGCTGAGATCCGAGGAGCTGAGCAGGACGCGTGCTCTATAGCTGGCTCCCCAGGAGGAGACCGAAGGGGCGGAGCCACGCGGAGGCAATGCGCCTGCCACACTCATCAAGTACAGGACAGGAGGGCAGAGAGCGGGAGCGGGCGCTGTCCCCACACCAGAAGCACCAGCCGTGAGGGATAAGCATCAGCCCTGGAGCAGGGCCTGCGTCCCATGTCCAGGCTTGTCACCCAACAAGGCCAGCAAAGGTCAGGCCTTGACCCCGTCTAGACTGATGCACAGAATCTCTCCCGGGCACAGCGAATGTTCCCTCAGCTTCCACAGCCAACGCCTCCTTCATCCGATAAGGTTTGCAAAGACGGAGGACAGCGGGCCTGGTTTGCAGGCCTCACTGGGTGTCCCCACATTACATCTCGCTGGGACCCACGGTCCCGTGTCCCAGGATCTAAGACAAGGCTTAAAGAGCAACCGGTGAACACAGAGCCTAGATGTAAAAAGCATTAGGTCCCGTCTCATGTCCAGAAAATGGGCCCAACTCAAGGGATCCAGGCTCTGGGGTCAGGAGGCAGCTGGTGGGCACTTGGAGGCAGCCCTGTCCTGCCACTAACTGAAGGTTAAAAGGATGGAGGGCCCTGGCTGGTTTGGTTCAGCGGTTAGAGCGTCGGCCCGCGGACCAATGAGTCGCAGGTTTGATTCCAGGCAAGGGCACGTACCTCGGTGGTGGTTCATCCCCCGCCCTCGTCGGGTCATGTGGGAGGCAACCAGTTGATGTGTCCCTCTCAGATTGATGTTTCTCTCTTCCTCTCTCTCCCTCCCATTCTATCTGAACAAAAATGGAAAAATATCCTTAGGTGAGGATTTAAGAAAAAAAGGGGTGGAAGCACAGATGGACGACAGAACAGAGAACATAATTTTGAAGAATTATAATACCTGGAAAGTAAACGTTACAACGGAAATATAAGGTCGGTCACGAACGAGGTTCCGAAGCCGAACTGGCGGAGAGATCACCAACTCTGAGCTCCAGGGCACAGCAACTCACCGAGCTTCCTGATCTCGTGTGTCCGCTCATCTCTCGTCAGCGGGACGTAGTTCATCTTCTTGCCACTTTCCCCGTAGCCCAGAAGAAAACCCCGCGATCTGCGTGGGCTCTTGGCTCCGGACAGGCGTGGCGCCTTCCACGCGACGGACAGCCGGTCGTCTGAGGATCGGACTCGGACACGCAAGGGCTTGTTTGGCACTTCCTTTTCTTAAAGAGGACACGACACAGACACTATTAAACAGTATGGCCTCAGAGTCCACCGCGGGCCTATCGAGTCTGCCCGAAGACTGAGCGGCAGCATCAGCAGCTGGGCTTAAACACCCATTTCGGGAAGCGATTCTAGTAAGAACATTTTCCCCAAAGGCACGGACCCCGCGTGCACATATTCCTCTCATGTTTTGGACCAAGAGATCTCTGGGACGTCAAATGAAAACATACCCAGGGTGAGACGCCAGCCAGAAATCTTGAGTGTTTTACCAATGTCCTTTTCATCTACTTCCTTTCGCCCCCTGAAGTCCACAACTCTGTGTTCCCTGGTGAGAGCGGACGGTCAGCGTGCAAACACAGCAAACATGCACTGTGTGCTATCCGTGCCTGCCCCGCGAGCTGCTTCGCTGTCAAGCTGTGAAGACGGGCTTTCCTGGCCTTGCCGGTGAGTCACTACGAGCTAAATAGTTACTGCCTTCTGGTTTTGATCTCGATTTTTCTGACATGGCTACGTCTGCCCCTCCAGACAAGTCATGCTCCTGCCCCGCTATCGCTGCTATTTCAGTTTCTTGCTGAATCCGTCAATTTCGAGAAATCCTCTTGCTGAAATGATCAGTCTCAAGAGACACTCTCGCTGTCTGCTCTCTCAAAGCAAAGCATTCTGGTGGCCAGGACTTAGTGTTTAAAGTTTTGCTTGTCCATCGATGAACAACTGGTAAGTTTGGGAATAAGGGTTATAGACCACACCATGACTACACTGTCCATTTCTGACAGTGGACCACATCCTAGCTCTTGTTTGGGGTCCCGTTAGGCTAGTGAGTGTCTCTCTAGTTATGTCAGCCAGTTACTTCCCTTAACCCCATCATCAATGCTGCCTAATTTTATTAGAATGGAAAATTCCCAGCTCGGCTAAGACATAAAAACACAATCTAATGTCATGAGTTAGTATACATTTCAATGACTCGATAAATAAAGAGCCGTTGGAGATGGTTATTCTGAAAGCCAGACACGTGATTCCAGTGTTCTGGACCCAACCGAAGGGAATCTCCATCTGTACACTAGCTGGAGTTACCTAACCAGTCGCTGGGCCCTCCGTCCCTAAGCTTCTCAGAGAATGCCACGTAGTAGTTCAACAGATATTTTCCCCACTGTATAAAGTAGCGCTTAGTGTAGCCAATGGACTAACTGCATACAACTTCTCCTTGCACTTTTGTTGGGGTTCTACTGAACTGACCGCAGTTTTGTTCAGGTTCCAAGGTGAGCTCTCAATGTCCAGGTCTGGCTTCTGTAAAAACCTAGGACCTCCAAGTGACTATGGAAATGACAGATGTGCTCATTTACATCGTTCAAGAGAAAACAACGTGTCCAAAGTGCTCAGTACTGAGAGTCCAACTCAATAATGGCATTGATTGAACATATGAGTTCCTATGCTACACCTGTGAGTTGATCAGTCCTGTGAGTTCCAGTCGTAATCCTATAAACTAACTTCTCTATGAGTTCTCATTAGGGATCCCTTGCTTCATACCCATAACAATGCGATGTCCAATGTTTCTAGAAAGACCCGAGCAGCCCCGTCTTGTTAAGTGTTTGAGTTGTCCATGGGTGACTGTATCATGGGAGAGGACTTGAACGTCCTCATCAGCGTGTGTCACTGCCCAACAGACCTTGCATGAGGCAGGGTAAGAATCACTTTTTTAAAAATCCTGGGGAAAATACCTTGTATAAACTACTTATGAAAAGTAAAATCTGGACAAGGAGCAGCGGTCTTCCTCATCAACAGCGAAGCTTTGTTTTTTTGTTTTTAATATTAGTTAGCAGATGTTTGTTCATCAGCACAAAACACATAAACAAGTTTAATTTTTCAGGATTCGTGTTCGTGTCACTTTCCAATTTATACAAAATGATGGAGTAGACTTTACATGGGCCATAAGCATGGGAATAGCAGTTGAGAGAAAAAACTGTAAAGGAAGCTAAAAACTTTGCTTCATTCTCTTTACAGCTCCTGAACCACTATTCCCCTGTGTGCCTCCACTGCAAGCTATCACCACGGACAAAAAATTCGGTTTTAACAGAAGACCTTCTCGTGAGTGACATCACATGCTATCTGTGTGGCTCTGAGGATGAACCTGAGGTTGAGGTTTGAGTTCAAGGGGTGCCCACTTGGGGGCAGGGGTCGGCCTATGTTTAAAAAGTTCTGTAAGGGCCCTGGCCAGTTTGGCTCAGCGGTTAGAGCGTTGGCCTGCGGTCCGGAGAGACCCGGGTTCGGTTCCCGCTAAGGGCATGTACTTTGGTTGCAGTTTGTCCCCGGCCCTGGTTGGTCGTGCGGGTGGCAGCCACTCGATGTGTCCCTTCACGTCGATGTTTCTCTCTCTCTCTCCCTCTCCCTTCCTCTCTCTCCCTCCCACTCTATCTGTACAAAAAAATGGAAAAATATCCTCGGGTGAGGATAAAAAAAATAAAAAATAAAATAAAATAAAAAAAAAAATTAAAAAAAAAAAAAAAAAAAAATAAATAAAAAGTTCTGTAAGGTGCAAATGATCTCTCTTAGTAACACGCGATGTTTATTTTACTTTTACGAAAAGCTCATACCACAAGAGAACCTCAGCGACTGGGGTTGAGAAATGACTGCTGCTCAAGTTGCCACAGACCATTTGCACTGCCTGTATTTCTGGGTGGAACCGGCAGGGTTACCATGCAGCCAACATGGCTGCCGAGGTCTGTTTCCTGAGGGGCAGCACTAAATGGGACAGATGCCCATGGTACTGCGTTCACCTTGACTGGTCTCAGCGCTACCCCCGCATCTCTTGTCCTAAAGTCCTTTGTGTCCCCAGCAATGCCCCCCTCCATGGCAGAAAGCAACGCTCTGGGATGCTCTCCATCAAAATGGGCAAATCTACCGAACACATTCCTGTACTTGGGTCTTGCAGGAATCGACTGGAAAATAAACGATTGCTCAGAAGCAGCGTCCTCGGCCCCGTGGCTCTGCTCCAGTCCCGGGACCCTTCCAGCCATGCGTCCTGCGATGACGTGATCCTAGGGAGCGCACCATCGCTGCTGGCCTTGGGGCGTGTGGCGGGCTCTGCTCCCGTGTCCCCTGACACTCAACAGTAAAATACTGGAAAAACAGTAGCAGGGAAAAAAGACCACTGGCATTTCCTAAACTGATGGGGTCCCTGTGGAGGAGGAAGGGCTGAGGTTCCAAGGGCGAGGAGCTTGGTACCAGATGGCACAAGTGTTTGCCTGAAGCGCCCAGCCTGTGGCTCTGTCCCGACCCAGGCCAGGCCCACATCAGCCACACCACCCATTGGCAGGGGCAGTAGCTGCCCCCTCAGTCTGCATGGGCTTTCACCCCAGGCTCCAGCCTGCTGTCTGGCCTCTCCATACCAGGGTTCAAGAGAGGGCCAGGCCTGCTGAGCGTGCTGTGGACACAGGGCTGAGGCTGCCCCTGCCAGCACCCCGAGCACACCTTACACAGAGACTTACGGTTTGTCATTAGCTCTCACGTGGTTTACGTTCACTGTCCTTAAACAGCTCCAGGTGCCCTGCCTGGTTGGCTCAGTGGTTAGAGTGACGGCCCCTGGACCGAAGGGTCGTGGGTTCGATTCCAGTCAAGAGCACATACCTGGGTTGCAGGTTTGATCCCTGGCCCTGGTCGGGGTCATGCGGGAGGCAACCAATCGATGTGTTTCTCTCATATCGATGTTTCTCTTTCTCTCCCTCACTCCCTTCCTCCTTCCCTCCGTCCCTTCCACTCTATCTTAAATAAAAAAAAAAAAATCAATGGAAAAATATCCTCGGATAAGGATTAACAAAAAAAGAAAAAACAGCTCCCAGGTAAGTAGGAGAGATGTCATAATCTCCCTGAGAAAACGGAGGTTCAAAGAACTGAAGTGACTGACCCAGGGCCACACAGCTACTAAAAGTGCCAAGCAGGGACCCAAATTCAACCAACCACTCTGATGCCAAGTTCCATGCTTCTCTAACTAGTGCCATTACATTCATGCTTGCCCACCACTCCACATGTCACCCCAGCAACCACCTAACCCTTCCGTGATGAATGGGGAACAAGGGTCTGAGCCGGACAGGCCCCCTTCAGTAAGCATAGCGGCTGGCACTGTGGGCACTGAATGTGTGTGTGTGCGCATGTGTGTGTGTGCGCATGTGTGTGTGTGCATGTGTGTGTATGCGTGTGTATGCATGTGTGTGTATGTGTGTGTGTGCATGTGTGAGAGTGTGTGTGAGTTTAATGGACCAGACAGTACGCTCAGCAGGTAGCAAATGAACAACAGAGGGCCTCCTGCCCACGACTCCCCCCTGGGCGAGCGGTTCCCAGACTGCTCAGCACTCAGTGACCCCGAAAGCCAGAGTGAGGTGAGAACACCATCCCTCTAGACCCGCCCTCCCTCTATCTTCCAAGTTACCGGGTTTAGAAAAGCCAACCACAATTTTTTTCAAGTACTTAAAAAGTGTCCTTTCCTTACCATTGGGTTATGCATGCTGCCAAAGATCTTTTATAGATCTGTTATAGATCACCTGGGAATCCTCTTTTAAGCTGATGCACTGAGAACAACTATCCAGATGGTTCAAATTCATTGGTGAAAAAATTTTTTAAATGTTTCTCTAAGCCGGATGGAATAGCCTCAAAGAAGCCTTCTGAAATTTTCTAATGAATCCCGGTAAGTCTTTTATCTTGAAAACAGGAAGTCACGACACAGAGAGCAGCCACACGCCACCCTCCGAGTGTGTCCCAGCCTGAGGACACAGCCCCTCCATGGCTATCCGCACGTCGGCCCGTGGACCGCACTCAGAACTGGCTGACAACATTAGCTACACGCCGTCCACGCGGCAGGTCCATGGGGTGAAGAATGACCACCTAGGTTAGAACAGACTTCAGACAGCCAGATGGGCACCTCTCCTGATGGGTATCGTCAGCTACACAAACTGGCAAATATTCTAAAATCGCACAAGATCAAAATCTGTTCTTTCCCAAAGAAAAAAAT